AGCTGCAGCCTTAGCGACAGAAAGAACAGCGGTTTGCGTCGCGAGAGCCTTGGCCCCGGAGTTCTTCAACTGGAAGGCTAATTCATCGACGGTGTAAGCCGGGTTGGCGGGAGACACGATTCCACCAGCCCAGAGCGTTCCCCACATTAGCACTGGGGTGTCAATGCTGTTAGGAGTGAAAAGGGCCAGCACATCGCCCTTGTGCCAGTCATATGTCGCCTTCAAACCTTTGCCAAATTCCAGAGATGCTTCTTTCAGAGTCTCGAAAGTGTAGTGCCGCTGGGTCTCGGCATCTTGGTAGAGGACTGTGGAGGTGGCGGTTAGTTTAATGGCTATCTCGGTATAGGACGACTGGGCGATTCAGTGCTGAATGACTCACTCTTGTCTTCTGGGAATGGTCTGTCCTTGCGCTCAAACAGGAATGACCAAAGGTCGACATTGGGAATGTCGACCGTGGGGTAATAGGACGCAACGGGCATATTGCGGGGAAGAGAAGGATAAGCGCCGATTCGTGGGAGCTTTCAAAAGGACGCGAGGGAGGAGGGAGGGGACAGCGATTCGGCAAGCCGTGTGTGTATATGTCAGGTGCGCCAAATTCAAATGACAGATATATGGAGAGGAAAAGGTGCGGAGAACTTGAAAGAATAAAAGGACCTCCTTCTCCGCAGTTTCGGTACTGGGGGGCGGCTTGCCTCGGTCCATCGATTACATCCTCTACCGTTGGGACCAATACCCGAATCGGCCTCCACTTGCCCCGGAGTTTACGGATTTTTGAGTGTTCGGTGGAGTTTCTACAAAATTTTGAGCTAATTATTCGATACTTTAATCTGGCTCGGTGCTTTTCGGCATTGGGTTGAAAGGTCTTTCAAACATCAGGTATGAATGTTCAGGTTGGATGAAGCTCTCGGCACTCTCGGCGTTCGCAGCGTTGATCAGCAGGGGTGCATGAACTACGCGAATTACTCCGTTTCCAAGGTTTAATTCACCGATACTAATTTGAAATACTTAGTAGGTAGCTGGGACGAACAATCTGGCAGATTTTAGGGGAAATATGATATTGAAAAAGGAATTCAAAGGTTCTCACCAAAAAAGCCTTTTGAATTTGTTGAGTTCTCCAAGTCCCCACCAGTATCGCTCTAGTAGTATATAATATTAACTACTACCTACATAGGTACGTAGTTGCAGTGCCCACCACTAACAGTGCCAGTGGGTCGTCGGTGAGGACTTTCAGTAGAAACAACATATATCCTTAGGCTGTCCAGCATATTCCACCTGGGCAATCTCCACCTGGGCACTCCAGCGGGCTGGCAGACACCCGACTCCAGGGCTCCGACTCGGAGTCTCAAACCTTGGAAGCCAATCAACATGTCCCTATTAGAAAATTATTCCATGTTGAACTTCAACACCTGCCGGTGGGCAGTCGTCCCGGAGCGGTCACTGCTTTCTTGATAACCTTGATAAGACAACGAGTACTACTAATAGTAGGTAGCCTCGCGGACTGGCATATCCAAGATTAGCCCTCGCAGAAGTTTAAATGCGTGGGTTGAATTGACCAGCCTTGGAATCCATCGAGTTCGGGGCAGGCCTGGGGATTGTCTCACTCCTTAAATTAAAGTCGCATTGTGACTAGATAGAAGGCACGAGGGGATTGCAAGTTACACCTATTCCCAAGGTTCAAGACGGCTGGGTCTTTGTTGTCAGGTGCCAATAACGATCATAGGTCAAGGTGACTACTAGTAGCGTCCACGGGTCTTTCCCAAGTGGATATTCTACCTAGGTAGTAGATCACGATTGTTGTAGTTACTACTAGTAATACCATGGCGCCCAGGTGTCTTGTCCAAGGAATGCGAAGGCCTTGGCATCCATGGTGACCACGAGGCTAGTACATAGTAAATCAATCCACTTATACACGCACTAGCGTACTTCGACCCCAGGAAAAACACAATTATATGGCGCTACTAGTACGAGACCGGGGATGAACGAGTGATAGCCTACAAGCATACGACTGTGGAAACGCTCAGATAAACTTTTTTGTTTTCATGCCGACAAGATCTTTATTGAAATGGAAACAGCTGATCCGATCTGGAAATACAAGCTGAATAAGGAACCCAAAACAGAACAGGACTGGCTTCCATTTTTCGTTTCCCAGAACCTTTCTCCACCACGCGCCACCACCAAGGGGAATCGTTGAGGTCGTTTACTTCAGGGGGATGAAACGGGAAGAGTGGGTGGCACCGATACCGGGACGACCGTGCTTGACGGGCTTGTAGGAGATCGAGAACTCGGCCAGGTAGTGGCCAACCATCTCAGGCTTGATCTCAACGTTGTTGAACTCCTTTCCGGAGTAGATGCCGATGACGGAACCGATCATCTCGGGGACGACGATCATGTCACGGAGGTGGGTCTTGACGAGGTCGGGCTTCTCGTTAGGCTTGGCCTCCTGCTTAGCCTTGCGGAGCTTCTTAATGAGACCCATGGGCTTGCGCTTCAGACCGCGGTTGAAACGTCTGCGGGCACGAGCGTGAACGACATCACGGAGCTGCTCGGAGGAAAGGTCCAGGAGCCTAGTAGCGATAGTTAGTATGGTTGAATCGAGCTGGATAATCAACACCCCGGGATCTCAGCAGCAAAACGACAAGAAACCCATGAAGACCAAAGGACATCCTCAGTCAAGTGGAGATTGTATCGGTGATTTCCTTTGATCCTCACGGGTGACGGTCGAATGTTGCGAAAGATCGGAGGGGTCGGAGGGGTCGATGGGTGAACGTACTGGTCGAGGTCAATGCCGCGGTAAGAAAACTTGCGGAACTGTCTTCTCTTCTTGATCTCTGTAAAACGGACATTCTGTCAGCGGGCTGGCGTTTTCATTCGGTCGATGTGGGTGTGGGTGTGTGTGCGTCCATGTCCCCCTTCGTCGAAGCCACTTCAATGTGTCGTTTGCGATCCTTTGATTCCATCCTCCTATCCAACTCTCATATCGAATAACTCCAGTGGCTTGACTCTCATCGGGCGGGCGGGGTGTATGCAGGGAGAATGTGGAAAGTGTGGTTGGATTCAAGACGTACCGGCAGCCTCCTCGGCGTTCTGGAAAGAATTATCGTTAGTATCAACAGTTGAGCGATATAGGATCAGTTTGGGGAACTCACGTATTCGCTGTCAGCCATTTTTGCGGTGGTTTCCTTGGAGCTCGCTTTTCGACAGTCCTCGAAAAGCGAAGGTTATTAGTTGTCGGAAGTTGTCGTGTCGCTGGGCGGATCGGCTAGCACGCCAGTCGCAAGTGGCTAGGTGGGCTCGCCTAAGCGATGGGTCAAACCCTAGCCCTAACACGCTAGTCTGCTTTAGGAACAATGAGGTAGGACCGTATTGTATTGTCACGATCTATTTGATAAAGTTCAAAGATACGGCATTCTCCGCAATTTAATATGGTGGATTCCTTGTCCCTTGAAATTTATTTCAAGTACCTGTAATACCAATTGAAAAGCCATCCATTGGATTGGAATGGCCCTTCTTATCCATGATATCAATGGATGGGACTCTACAGCGGGCAGTACGATGACATAAGATATCAAAAGATCCTAGGATATCAAAAGATACCGCTGGAGAGAATAGATTGACGTAAAGAGTTAATCATACAGAGACTATAAATAAATTTGCTAAATTACTCGTCAAGACCATGGCCGAACGGGTTGACATTTGCTAAGAAAGAAACCATTCGTTCAGGCGCGCATACCAACTACAATCTACGGAGAAAGCGGTTGTGGAGGACAGATGAATCTGTATTGCCTAGAGCTATTTTCGGCTCATAGATGAGAAAGTCGTAACTGCGTCAGAACAGCCTGAACCATGCACATTTCAGGAACCAGCCGGCGAAGATGTCTCCCGAACTGGTTGTACCATGCAGATGTCTGTTCCTCCATATCATCACTTTTGGGGGTTCCGGAGAGAAGGCATTTAGTCGAAGAGACCGAATCCCATGTCATCATCGGACTCCTCCTTCTCCTCCTCCTTCTCCTCAGCGGGGGCGGCCTCAGCGGCACCACCAGCGGCGGCAGCACCACCAGCGGCGGCACCGGCACCACCGGAGGGAACGGAAGCCAGCTTGGAGGAACCCTCAGCGATCAGCTGTTTATCGAGTTAGCATCTGCAAATATCGAGAAAAAGACTATCATTCGCGCAAGTGAAAACTAACCTCCTGGAGGTCCTTGCCCTGGAGCTCAGCGACGACCTTGTCGAGGCGCTCGGAGTCAGCGTCAATGCCGACGGAGGACAGAACAGCCTTGATGTCGGCGGCGGAGGGAGACTCGTTGCCGGCAAGGGCGAGCAGAAGGTAGGCTGCGAGGTGCTTCATTTTGAATAGACTGTCGAGAAATTGGTTGTCAGCGCCAACGTTCAAATTTTGCAAATGGCTATCGCACCCGGCGTCTGAAATGGCGAGGATGCAAAGTCGAGGAATCAAAACGTACCTATGTTTGTCTGATACTGAACCTGAGAAACAATCGATTTAACCGCAAGTTGGGCGGAGACTGCAACGTCGAGTTCGAAGGGTTGGTTGAGAAACTAGACACGCCGGGCGGTCGAAAATCGAGGGAAAAGTGCGTTGCGGCTCGCTGTGGCTGTGCCACCGCCCGGCAGAAAACCTAAGCGAATTGCCCCAAATGTGGCGCATGCTCCCTATCACGTGATATATTGCCAATCTTCAATGGTCGAGGCTGCCTTTGTATGAATCCCCGCCCAACAAAGCCGTGATTGCCTCGTCTCGATTCACCGGTTGAGGTCTGCTGGCGGACGGCTCTCTGTCTTTATACAAACTCATACTTTTACCTCAACTCTCGAGCCATCCTCCGACCACCTTGCGGAGTGTGCTCCATCATATAACATCGCGTTCGGAGTCATGAAGCTGTCCGGTCGAACCAACCATCGACGGTAAACGGTTTCTCTTTATCATACTGTTTCTTTTAAATATCAAGATCACCTCCTTCCGTCCCTTCCCCTGATCCAAGATGAGTGTATGCATATACTTCCTCCGTTTTTCTCTTATCTTCTCTGACATCTTGAATAGTTCCTCGACTCTGTTCTCTCGTCCCTCGGGCCGACGACCAGGCCTCCCCAATCCCCGCTCTCTCAGCCACCTGCGTCGCCAGCTTCGTCCTCCGTTCCGAAAAAGGACGACCGTAATCTTCCCAACCTTCCTCGAGCAGCGTCAACTCGGCCAACACTATCAAATGAAGCTACAGGCGGAAACTTCAACGGAGCTACCAAGCGCAAAGCCGAGGACCAGCTCCCACGCCCTTCCAGACCTAATCTTCAACCTCCCGCTAAATCACCCGCTGTCCGGCCTGTGATTTCGTCCGGAACAGCAAAAGCTGCCCCGTCCGTTCCCAGATCAGCATCGGCCCCCGGTCTTAAGGATAAGACTGCCTCACCCAACCCCGTCTCCAAGAATGGTACCCCGGGCCCAAGTAGGCCAGTTCCAACAAAGCCAGCTCCTGCTCGCGCTGCGCCCGCCAAAGTCATTCCCGCCAAGGCTGTTGCCACCAAACCTGCAGCTCCAGCAAAGGCGCCACCGAAGGGTTCATATGCCGCTCTGATGGAAGCAGCCAAGGCTGCGCAAGGCAAGGCACCGACTCAAGTGGGTGTGATCCGAAACCAAGCAGCGCCCAAAGAGAGGTTAAGCAAGGTGGAGCGCAAGCGACGACTTCAGGAAGCCCAAGAGAAGGAGAAGGCGGAGCGCAAGGGCAAACGATATGAACCTAGTTCGACAACCAGGGGCAAAGTTGCCCCGAAAAAGGCCGAGTCTGATGCACCTTCGTATAAGGGCACAGCCAAACCCTCACGTACCCCAGAGCCTGTTTCATACCGTGGAACTGCGAACCTACCAACTAATCGAAACTCCAACGATCGACGATCGCATGGCAAACGCCGCCGGGATGAATACCTCGGAACCGATGAAGAAGAAGAGGAGGGCGATTACGGTGCTGATGACTACGACAATTACTATTCTGACTCGTCTGATGATATGGAGGCTGGATTCGATGATGTCTTCCGCGAAGAAAGTCGTGCTACAAAGGATGCCCAACGGGAGGATGAAGAGGAGCTACGGATGGAGATTCTCGCGAAGAAGGCGAAATTGGAGCGCCGAGAAAAATTGGCAGCGCTCGCCTCTCGAACCAAACGATAGATTTGGTGTACTTGCATATCTGTGTTTCCTATGTCTTACTTTTGTCATTCGTTGGTTAGGTGGGGGTTTTTATTGAGCATTATGAGCGTTTTCTGCTTTGTCTTCCCAGTTTTCTTTGGCTGGTTATATCTTCCTCTTTGTTTCCTCCTTTCTACATTCTTTCTTTTCTTTGTTCAGGTGTCGATAGACAGGGGAAGTCCAATGATTTCAAAGTAAGCCCCTAAAGGTATTTCTTTGAATATCATCCATAGCGGGCGTTGTGTTTTCAATACTTCAATACCAATATAGTACTTGCTTTCGGTCCCTGACAATTGAGTGTTCTATAAACCTGTAGTTGTGATATTGAGAGTGGTCCAGTCTACGTTGAGAATAGCAACAACGGCCAAACTGGTTGTCTCTCGTTTTGTCTCGGCGCGCCCCACCTTCTGCGTGACATCACCCGCCCGAGTCATTCTTGGACATCCCCATTGAACGTCTTTCTTGTCTTGTTTTTAACCTTCTTCAAACCTCAATCATGGAGTCTGTTCATCATATATCTACTTCGTCGAAGATTCTCTTCAGCAAGGTGCGCAAGATCGTGCCACCGATGCTAGAGAAGTTCCACAAAGGTTTGTACAGCTAGCCATCCAGTTAGAGCGCAAAAGCCTCGCCGCTTTGAGTTTCGAAGATAATATCTGATCACTCGACAGGGCAACTTGGACGAGTGGCGGTCATTGGAGGCTGTGTTGAGTAAGTCTGTCGTTTCTGTCTCGGAGCCGTGATCTAACTTGATGGAAAGCTATACCGGGGCTCCGTACTTCTCAGCTACTGCCTCTGCAAAGCTAGGTATGCACAAAATGCACTTTTATTCGCCATGATCCATAGCTGACCCGTATTTAGGATGTGATATGGTATGTGGCTGATTGCAGTTCACGAGTTCGTAAGTCTGACAACTCTCTAGAGCCATGTTCTGTGTGAACGCTCGGCGGCGCCGGTATGTTCAACATGTCAGCTTAATTGACCTCACCACTCATACTTGCCTCCAGGTTGTTAAGAGTTACTCTCCAAATCTTATGGTGCATCCCATATTGCCCAGCTCAGATACAGTCAAGGACCCCAAGTCGATCGATGCTCTGGCATTAGCGGGCCCGATTATCAGTATGCTCTCCCGTCTGCATGCTCTAGTCATAGGACCTGGACTTGGTCGTGATGGAGTTACGCTTCAAGTGGTTGCAGAAGTAATCAAGGAGGCCCGATCACGATCGATCCCATTCGTTCTGGACGCGGACGGGCTGCTCATCGTGACCGAGGACCCCAATATCATCAAGGGCTACAAGGAGTGTATTTTGACGCCAAACGTGGTTGAGTTCGGTCGCTTGGCAAAGGCCTTGGGAGTCAAGGTAGCCAGCCAGGCAGATATCTCAAAGGACGAGAAGAGTGCTAAATCCCAGGAGTCAGATGCCTGCGAGCAGCTTTCTAAAGCTCTGGGCGGAGTGACAATCCTCCAGAAAGGACCCCACGATGTCATTTCTAACGGGATCACGAGCCTTATCTCGAATAATGAAGGAGGTCTGAAGCGCAGCGGCGGACAGGGAGATACCCTGACGGGATCGTTGGGTACCATGCTTGCCTGGCGAGCGGCCTACCATAATAAGCTGTGGGACTCTGGAGAGAAGGACAATGAAAAAGAGGCGCAGAATAAGGAAGATTTCCAGGCTGAGCTGGAGTCGGAGGAAAAGCGCATGTCCCCGGCAACTACTTTACTGCTGGCTGCTTGGGCGGGAAGTAGCATCACCCGCGAATGTTCACGGAAAGCCTTCGAGGCCAAAGGGCGAAGCATGCAAGCCAGCGACCTGACCGACGAGGTACATGGCAGCTTCTTGAGGCTGATTGGAGAGCCCGATGGCTCCAAGACGCATCTCTAGGCTTCTATGCGCGACCTGTAGGACTGGGTGGGTTTTTATTGCTTTGTATGTAAATACGACTTCAGTCCGAGTCCATGTCTTACCAGCCTCTGCTTATGTTCTGAAATGAGGGGAGCGATAAAATCCATTGACCGATCACCACATCTTCAGGTTACTTGGTGTTTAGTTCGAATAATTTTATCACCAATGGTACCTGCATATGGCATCATTTCGATCTAAAGACCTTGAAACGACGTCGAGGTGAAGATCTATCCGGTGGCACCAAAAGAGCCCGAGTGAGACGCCCCCCCTAGAGACAGAAAGTACATATGCATTCAGATGCGGCACTCTCGGAGGCTTCTACTTCACGTTTGAATGAGCTACCGATGCATCTTTAATCGAAAGTCTAGTTCCCCACATAAGCTCGGTAAGTGTTGGCAACCCCAAAGTCAGGCGCCCAGCATACTAGTATTGCCGAGGGCCGAGACGTATGCGAATAGGAATGAAGATTATCCCGGATAAAAGAACAAGTTGATGTCATACGATAATGAGCACCAGTCGTACATTGACTTGTAGACATCGAGTTCAATGGATTTAAAACAAGACCAACCACACGAACGAAGAGACATTCCCGAACTGGAAACGCATAACGAGATTGCAGATGACTGACTTCAGCTAGAACTTTAAATGAGTAAATTCAGTTTTATTGAATCCAAGGATTCGATTTTGCTAACTTCTATAATAGGAACTCATATTTCGTATTCGACAAGCCCATTCCAGATGGATTGAAGGAAGTATGCCTACAACACCATAAATGATGTCCATAAACGAAAGCCAAACCCTAACAATTGGAAGGCTTTCAATAGCTACAAATAGCCATGGTGACATGTCAAGTTATTTCCCCGCATACTAGGCTAAACATAGACCGGGGTTAAAGTAAAAACCTCGATCCAACTCGGATTAGGGCTATCCAACTAAGACATGCAGCCCCGCGGACAACAACCAGGTACTCGAGTCGCTGCAGCTCCAAGCTGGGAAACTCTCAACCCAAGAAGACCCTGATTCTGCGCTGGCAAGCCATTTCCCCAGCCCCGGTCGATAAGCGTTGGCGGTGTTTGGGTGGACCTTGTTCCAGAGCTCGTATTCGCGCCGCACCCAATGTCGGCTGTGGTGGCTCGACATCCCCGACCTATCCGATCGTCAAAAAGAGTCATAGATCTGGAGCTGAGAGGATATCGTATGAGATATTTTACCTAACAGCATCTGTGCATTTTCTTTGACGGTGAGACCAGGGCTGCTGACCTCGTGATATGCTGGCGGCATCCGGACGGGGTAGGCTATGCATCTATGAATCCTGCAAATCGAGGAGTCGATTTGACTCTGCCGTTAAGGTAGTAAGTACCTAGGTAGGCAGAGGAGAAGTAAACCTCCGGGTATAAAGAGGAGCAACTAGCCCTCAAATTCTTGCAGTCAATTTCTTCCAGAACCAAAACAAAATCTCAGCCTTTGCTTGATATAATCCATCAATCCACATTCGCTATGCAGCTCTCATTTATTACCCTGTTGGTCACCCTGACCACTCTGGCATTGGCAAACCCAACTCCTCCTCCACCCAAGTGTGGTACTTGCAATCCTGTTTCCGGCCAGAACAGCTGCGATGTCACCACCTCGTGCATCAATACTGGAACCACCTTCCACTGTGCCTGCCGTGCCGGTTACAAGGCTTCCAAATGGAACAACGATATCCACTCGGAATTCCGCCTGCCGATGCCGAATTACGAGTTCCTGGTGTTCGTTCCTGAGAACACTGTGTGTAACACTTTGTGTGACAACCCATACGCCGCTCCAGGAGACCTGTGCAAGGAGGTCCACTTGTATAATCAGTGCAAGGTTTAAGCCTCCGGTCAACTAGGTCGAGATGGGCAGAAACTTGAAGTTCTAGGAGGGGAGGGGGGCAGTTGTGCGGGATAAGTTTAATTTCTACGGTATAGGATTCATGTTGGGGACCGTCCTTGAATTCATGGTTGGTAGTCATTAGTACTTGAAAGGGTGCCCCGGTGAAGTCGATGGATATAGCCATAGTGAAGTGGAAGATGGCACATAACTCCTTATGTCAATTATGATCTTTTTTGCGAGAATGATGAGGAGACGAAATAAAGAATGATAAAGGAGATTAAATTTGGTTTTGATAATCTTTTGATCGACCAAGCATAGCACAAAAACCGGTTCCCGACCCCTCAAAGACACCTGAACACCCAAACTCCAAGACTCAACCGGTTCCACTGATGCATCTGAGGACACGCAATAAAACACTGGAGAAGAGAGAAAGAAAATAATGTGAAAGGAAATCTTTATTAGGCGACCATCTCGTCGTCGCCCTCGACAAACATGAGGCGCGAGCCCTCGCCAGTAATAAGCCAGACCTATAAACGAATAATTAGTAACATTTTGGTACATAGAAAGAAAGGGACAAAGACTTACACCAAGGTCGGCATATTCTTGGAGGGTGGTGGTAAGCTGGTCATCGGTGAAGCCCTTGGCCAAGACACGCTCACGAATACGTCTGACACTCATCTCACTGTCGTCACCATCTCCCATTGCGGCGGCTCCACTCTCCCGCAGGGTACCGATCAACTTGTAGATCTTGCTGCTGGGGGTGTAGTCGGCACCGGATTCGCCATCGTTGGACAGAGAGGCCTTGCTGACCTCGATGAGACGCAGAGCCTCGTCAACATCCTCGCGGACAACCTCCTCGCTGAAGCGAAGACGAGCGAGTGCTTGCGAGAGACGGACGATACCCAAGAGAGTACGAGGGGTAACGTGGGAGAATTGCTTCTTGTTTGCCTCGTCCTTCTTTTGTCTCTTGCGCATAGCCACATATGCGCCGACCATGTAGTCAGAGACGTTAGAAGGCACAACAGGTCGGAAGGTGCGTGCCTTAGCGATATACTGTCGGACCTCATGGGGGGGGTAAACATCACTCCAGCGTCTTCGTTTTCGGGGTGCTTGTTGTGCATATGGACATAGGTAACGTGGGCGGCAAGCTCTTCGTCACCTTCCGGAGTAGGGGTGTCCAAAAGGAGGAACATCACATCGAAACGAGAGAGGAGAGCAGCGGGGAGGTTGATGTTCTCAACAGGCGAGATGCGAGGGTTGTAACGGCCATAGAGGGGGTTGGCCGCGGCCAGGATCGATGTGCGAGCGTTTAGGGTGGTGTTTATGCCAGCCTTCGAGATGGAAATGGTCTGTTGTTCCATCACTTCGTGAATGGCGGTACGATCGGAGTCCTCCATCTTATCGAATTCATCAATACAGCAGATACCGTTGTCTGCAAGAACCAGAGCACCTCCCTCCAGCATCATTTCGTCTGTGACAGGGTCCCTCATCACGGCGGCGGTGAGACCGACACCACTGCTACCACGACCAGTAGTATACACGCCGCGAGGAGCGACCTTCGTGATGTAACGGAGCAATTGGGATTTGGCCACACCGGGGTCACCCATCAGGCAGATGTTAATGTCGCCACGAATGTGCATACCATCACCCATCTCCTTGCTGACACCACCGATCAAGAGCAATAGCAAAGCTTTCTTGACGTCGAGGTGTCCGAAAATCTCGGGAGCGATAGATCGCGACAGATATTCGTACATCTGGCCGGACTTCATGTGCTGGTCAATCTTGCGCAAGGTCCGGCTGTCCATGCCAATGTCGTTGTAAGACTTCTTGTGTTGGGTGATGTGCTGGGCTTCCAAGTAGGTGTCCGTCAGAAGACCGGCACGAATGGCGCGGAAGCCAGTGTAGGGTGTAGGCAGGAAGATTCCAGCAATGTCAACGACATCACCAGGGTTCAATTGCCGGGTCTGGGCACCGTGGCAGTGAATAGTAAGGGAGCGGGGAATATGACCAACAGGCACTTGGTCTGCCATTTCTTGGATCTTGACCTCCTGGAAGGGAACAAACTTGGAAGCTCGGGTGGAAAGGAACAGTTGACCCTTGGAGTTGTTCGTCTTACACTCGTTGGACAAGCACTCAGAGAGAGGAAGGAACTGCTTCGTATTGACAGGCTGGAAAACTTCACAGCCGCAGCGGTCACAGGTGTAGGCATTGATCTCAACGGCGGGCTTGACATCAGAGACACGAGTAGTGATGCCGCGCACAGTGATCAGGCTACCCAGGTGCTCTCCGCGCACATTACGGACAGCGAGGGCCTTGCCAGCCCGATCGTCACTGGAACCGGAGGGAGTAAGAGGTTTGAAGTTGAGGGTGTATCGACGGGTGAGTTCGGGGGGGAACAAGGCGGCAGGGTCTGCGGCATCCATATCGGCCTCCTGTGCCATCTCCAACGTCTCGTTGCGCTTATCACGTTGCGACATGATGACATCCAAGACATCATCCTTGAATCTGTAAAAGAAAATTAGCTCACTGCACCACTTCATTGTAGTTCCACGGCTCATGCGCATACGTGACATCCTTAGTCTCCTTTGGCATGACCGAGTCCACTGCCTGCGAAAAAACATCGACATAACGCTTAGTGTTTTTCTGGATTGATCCGACAAGGTTCAATGACTGCTGCTCCTCGGGGAGGGATTTCTCGTACTACAGAATTGGGAGTTAATTGACCGAGTGACACAGGTAGAGGTACAGATGGAAGGGCTGGAACTCACAATGTCCAGATCATCAAGCTCAATCACAATGTTGGAAGCGTCGCGGTTGGAGATATCCTGCAGAATCTGCATGTACTTGAGCTTCGGCTCACGACGCCTCCTCGCACCACGGGTCTGGGCTCCCTCTCCATCGTCAGCGTCGTCCATAAAATCGTATTCATCACTGGTGCGATTTCCGTCAATGTTCAGATCCTCCAGGGCCTCGGTCGCTGCAGCTTCCGAGGACGACTGGAGAGTCTTGAAATGCTGAAGAAAATCCTTAAAGCCATCCAATTGGGCGGCGTAGTCGACCGGCGCCTGGTATTGGAGCAAAGCCATGATGTATGGTGGGGGTGGGATGCTCCGAAGTCAGGTTGGAGTAGTGAAGACGCAAAGTGGTGCAAAGTGGGTTTCCGAGAAGAAAGCCTCAGCTCTCTCAAGCCCCTAGCGGGCGGGCGGCAACCTTGCCTCAGAGACGCGTGGGTGAGGAAGGCGCGCGAAAAGGACGCGTCGGACGCGTCCTGGAATGTGGCTGACTAAGGCATAGCTGACTCAGATCGGCGTCTGCCGTGGATAAGTCACCTGACACCATCTATGGTCACGGGCCGAGGCTAAGTGACCGAGTGTGGAGTGGGATGTCCGGGGGATGTTCTACTCCTCACTCTCTCCTTCTTCTGTTTGCGACAAATAGCTTTGCGCCTTGATCATGGCGCCCAAGAAGCCCTCCACCACTGCCGAAGTTGCCCTTGTTCCACTGAAGAATTGTCTCGTTAACCTTCCACCGTCACTCGTCTCCTTGCTGGTTAACGCCAATACGGTTAGTTACATCCGTCGGTCAATCCCGCATTCCCGGCTAATCCTCCGTCATTGTAGCCTGCTCAAAATGTGATAATTGAATTTCAATTTAAGTCCACCAGTGGCAAGGCCAATGGGGCCGGGGCACCACCACAGCGATCATGCTTCCTAGGGTGGACGGGCATGCCGAGCAAGCGGAAGCTTGCACCGGTTGTTGCTCGCGATGGCGGGTTCTCTCGAGAACAGGAGATATCCACGGTCGAGATTGACACATCCTTCGGAAGACTCCTGGGTCTAACTGAAGGCCAGAAGGTATTTACCTCCGGCATACCAACTTAGACCTCATGTGTGGGGTAATTAACTCCTTGCAGGTCGGCCTTCTCGTACACCTTGACCCACCCGTCGCCCACACGATCAACATTGAGCCATTGACTCCGGAGGACTGGGAGAGTATGTTTGCGTATTCGGCGCTATCATCAAGCCCTATCGCTGACCTTATTCTAATATAGTCATTGAACTTCATGCCACTTTCCTAGAGCTCAATCTCCTGTCGCAAATCAGAGCTCTCCCCAACCCTTCCTATGATGCCGCCGCCGCAGGAGAGGAACACATGCACCCATTGGCGCTTCATCTTTCCCCCACATCGACCGCCAATATTATCGTCACATCACTGACTCCAGCTCCGTCAACCACCTCACCATTTGCGAAGATCGCACCCGATGCCGAGGTGATAGTTGCCCCGAAGGTCCGATCAAAGACCTCCAAATCACCGCGCGGTGAAAGCCGAAGTACGGCTGGTAGCAGCAGAAGGAGCGCTGGCGGCCGAAGTGCTAGTAGCACTGTTCGTCCCAAGAGCAGCCGCTCTGAATCCAGCAGTAGAGGTTCTCTATACCTGAGAGGCGTTGATCGCCTCACGGCATCTGGGATGTTCGAACCGGAAATTGAAGAGGACGAAGATGAAGGCTTCCGCGTCTGGGTTGATCCGGAGCTTTTGGTATCCCATGAACTCCGAGGCGCGAATTGGGCATGCGTATCTATTGTCCAGCCCTCGGGTCTGAAGCCTCCGGTGGATCCACAACAGCAACTAGCTCAACAAGAGCAAAAGAACAACGAAGCAGGCGCTCCAACAACGAAGCTGGTAGCCAAGATACTTCCTTGGGAGGATGCTCCAGACAACAGACATGTTGCGATGTCAACTCTTTTGTGCACGGCCCTGGGTGCGGAGAATCTAGTTGGGGGTATTGTTCGAGTGGAAGCTGCCCCACCACAACTGCATCGCTCTGCTGTCAAGACGCTCAAGCTATATCCATTCATTGCTGATCCATCGAAGAAGAAGGACGGGCTGAAGTTTGGCGCTGACACTGCGGCTTCTCGTGACGCTCTTGCGGAACGATTGAAAGTTATCTACGGAAGCACGGGATCGGATGTCGGACTGTTTTCGGGGCCTCTGACGGATGGGATGATTCTTCCAAAGGTTGAGAACCACCCATCAGTATCATCCTTTGACGGCGCTATACTTCGATTTGATCCGCCTCTAAAGGGCGGTCCCGATGACACTAAGACTATGTTTGGGTGGCTTCTTGGTTCAGAAGCGAAGCTCAACCTTGAGGTACAGGCTGAAATTGCCAAGCCACTTGATCTCAACTCATCTTCATTGCCCTCAGATGATCCTATTCCAGCCGAGATTCCTCTAATGGTTGGCATTGATTCGATCATCTCTCAGTCACTCACCAATATGACCAAGTCCTCGTCAATCTTGCTGACTGGAGGACTTGGAGCTGGCAAGACCGCACTTACGCATCTCATAGCTAGTCGCCTGCGGAAAGAACATTTGTTCAATGTGAAATATTTCTCTTGCCGCAAGCTTGTCACGGACGAGACCAGAATCTCCAACATCAAGGAGGTTTTAAACCGCCTATTCATGTCTGCTTCGTGGTGTGCTCGTCTTGGTGGACGCGCGGTAGTGATTCTCGACGATCTTGATAAACTGTGCCCTGCGGAGACGGAAATGCAAGTCGGAAATGACAATGGTCGCAGTCGCCAGAACAGTGAAGTAATCTGTTCAATGGTTCGCGAATATTGCTCAATGAACTCTTCCGTTGTTCTTATGGCCACTGCTCAAGACAAGGAATCCCTGAACAACGTGATCATCGGAGGCCATGTAGTCCGCGAGATCATCAACATGCGTGCGCCCGACAAGGACGGGCGCCGAAAGGTTCTAGAGAAGCTGACTAGCCAAGACAAGCCGACAGAATCCCTCAATGGCCATGCACGTACCACAAGTTCCTCGACTCAGGACTCATGGCTGGATCCTTCTAACCCTGGAAGTCGCCCAAGCTCGTCTGGTGGTGATGGATTCGTCTTAGATCGTGATGTGGATTTCCTTGAGCTGGCGGGTAAGACCGATGGTTACATGCCTGGTGATCTTGTCCTGTTGGTTGCTCGTGCCCGTAACGAGGCTCTTATTCGCTCCGTTCAAGATCTATCATCCGAGAGCAAGATGATTACTCTTGGTTCGGCAGATTTCGACAGCGCGTTGAAGGGATTTACTCCAGCATCTCTCCGCAACGTCACTCTCACCTCTTCGACAACCACCTTCTCAGCAATCGGTGGTCTCTTTGAAACTCGCAAGACCTTACTTGAGACATTGCAGTACCCTACGAAGTATGCACCCATCTTCGCCCAGTGTCCCCTCCGTTTACGGTCTGGTCTGCTATTGTACGGCTTCCCTGGTTGCGGTAAAACCCTCCTTGCTAGCGCGGTAGCGGGTGAATGTGGCTTGAACTTCATCAGTGTGAAGGGTCCCGAGATCCTGAACAAATATATTGGTGCTAGTGAAAAGAGCGTTCGCGATCTCTTTGAAAGAGCCCAGGCCGCACGACCCTGCATTCTCTTCTTTGATGAGTTTGACAGTATTGCCCCAAAACGTGGCCATGACTCTACCGGTGTCACTGATCGTGTTGTCAACCAACTTCTTACACAAATGGACGGTGCTGAAGGTCTCTCAGGCGTCTACGTTCTGGCCGCCACATCGCGCCCCGATTTGATTGACCCCGCTCTTCTACGTCCCGGTCGTCTCGACAAGTCTCTCTTGTGCGACATGCCTTCCCAGGCTGACCGCGTCGACATTATTCGTGCTGTTAGCGAGAAGCTAAAAATGAGCGAGGAGGTGGCCGGTCGCCTGGACGAGATCGCTGCCAGAACCGAGGGTCTTTCTGGAGCCGATCTACAAGCCGTTGTATACAACGCACACCTGGAAGCCGTCCATGATGCACTTGGCGATCGCACCGGAGATGAAAAGCCGGGCGCAAAATCAAGCGCTACGAAGAATGCCTCTACCGGCTCTTCCAACAGGTCATTCATCCAATTCCTCTACTCCTCTCAAGAGGAAGCAACTGGGTCTTCTTCCCTACCGTCGCCGGCTGTGGTCGCGGCAAAACTAGAGGCTATTAAGAACTCGCGTCGTCGTCAGCGCCAGATTGAGAATGGAACAGCCAGCAATGGTCCCGCAGCTGCCCCGGCTACCAATGGCGCCGATGGCTCTGCAGATGAAATGCGGGACGAGATCATCGTGCGATGGGAGCACGTTGAGCGTTCTCTTGCTAGCACTCGTTCCTCTCTCAGTTCTACTGAGCGCAGACGTCTTGAGGGTATTTATCGTGAGTTTGTCGATGGCCGCGATGGTGAAATGCCAAATGGTGAGGCGACCAATGAAATTGGCGGTCGATCGAGTCTGATGTGAGCTGGGCTATCAATTACTACTACTAACTTCTTATCTTTCATGCTCAAGGGAGACCTTCTGTACATTGTATATATACACTTGCATATTTGATGTTTACTCTCCGGGATTCCGGCTCTTTCTTGTATTTATTGATTCCGCATCAACACCCCCAGTCGTGCATTCAAGTTCGATGCTTTGGAAGTTGGAATGGCAAATATCCAACCTTAGGTTTACAGCGTGGAACTTGTCTCTCCAGACCCCTTCCCTCATACTAGTACTAGTAGCAGGAGTAGCTAAACAACCCTGGGAAAGTACTAGTTACCTATATGCCAAGTTCTCCTCATCCAACGATCATTCCTTATCCAAAGCAAACCGAACCAACTTCTCAAGCTTCACCCACTCAGCACTAACAAGCGGCTTCGCCGTACTCGGATCAATCCCATTAGCCTTAAACTCCGTATGAACCTGCTGAAAATTGGCCGCAACCAATTTCTTAAACCCAGGCACAGTACAACTCTCCGCCTGCTTACTCGCCAAATCAGCCAGGATATACCACAGTATATAATGAAAGTTGATCCCGAAGTCACGCAGTTGTATCGGATCAGCCGGGTCAGGCTCGTATCCCTGAGACAAGAAGATGGCTAGCTTTGCCAGGATCCAGGCGTGGACCTGTCGGACCGGGTGGGCGGGGCTGTACAATTCCGGGTCGAGACGCAGGTACCGAATCGCGGCGTGGATGAATGCCTTGCTGAAACTGTTGGCCGAGAGGAGGGCGACGATCAGGTCGTCGCGGAGAGAAGCGTAGGGTTGGCGGGTCAGGGGCCAGGCGGATGTTGCCTTTAGAGTATGGAGGGCCTTTTCGAGGTTTTTGATCGTGTCGATCGGCGTTGTGCTTGATGCACTGGCCGTCTGCATTAGTTCGAGGGCTTTCCGCTCGGCTTCGTCGAGGGCGGCTTTTTCGGCCTTTTCTTCAACCGATGAGTATTCTTTGAAGTTGAGCTTTTCTTCTTCGGTGTCGGTGCATTTAAGACATTTGCAGGTGAAGAAATATCTTTCTGAGAGCTCTTTGCGCCGGACTTGTTTTGGGGTTGTGGTGTCGATGTAGGATATGAAAATTTCCTCGTCCTTCTTGATGGGCCGAATGGCCTTGACGAACAGTTCTTCTCCGTCAAATCCGACGGTCGAGTTATACTCGCAGCTGTGGTTGATCAGGGCGGCGTAGGGATGCATGTATAGCCCGACTCGGTCGTAAAGGGCGGTTGTCAGATTGAATGAGTTGAGCTCAAGCTAGGATATCTGTTAATAAAAGCCCTCCAAGATTTGTGATTATTGAAAAGTGTCAATATTTCCGAGATATTCCTACCTTAGCTGCGTAAGTCATGATAACATTCTCGGTCATGTCTGTCTCGGAATAATTCTTGACAGCCTTCGAAGTCGTGATGATGCGGTCAAGATTGGCTTGAAGCTCCTGAATCTCATTCATATGCGTCTCAAGCTTGGAAAGGGTATCCAGCTCCTGAGAACTGTATTTTCCGCGACCAGTCCGAACAACCATTCGCATGATAGCGCGCGCGTTGTTGGGCAGGACATTAGGCTTCACCTTCTGATAGATAGGACATTCCCCCGCGTGGGCGAATTTCCAATCTTTGGATTGACAGACCTGGAATAATTTATTAGAAGATTCTCTCAGAGCAAATCAATCATCAAAGTTGAAATCGATATACAGACGCAGGCAGTCCCGCCACACGAATCAATCGCCCACATAACAAAAGATGAAACAATAATACGTATAAACTCACCCGATCGCAGTACTTAACCACCCGGCACCCCGTACAGGCCTTGAGCTCCGCACTATTTTCCATCTGCCTTTTTCCAAAGCAGCCGGAGCAGGTATCTTCCAGGCGCGACGTATCAAGAACGGCCACAAAAGGCACTTTGGCGTGCAGCACATCTTCGCCGACTTTGATATCCGAGGTAGCGAATAGGCCATTTCCCATGCCCCCGGAGGAACGGGGCTCCGTTTTGGTACTGACAGATGGTAGAGGAGTCCGAGAAGACATTTTTCAGGTTGTTTGTGATGTCCATTCCACCGCCAATATTGCTCTCTGATAGACGCGGGAAGATGCTGATGTGGCTTAGTCATGTGTATTTTGAACCTCAGATTTGGTCCACAGTTCAAGAGGAGCAGATCATTTTCTGTCCTAGTATTGGAGGGATGAAGACTAGGCGTACGAAACTACATGGAATACTACATGTCTACAGGTGAAGAAGAAAAATATAGAAAAGTTCTTTTGTCGCTGAAACACAAACCAATCGACTACAAACAAATTCCCGGCAAAAAAACAGGTAAGAAGCAGACCCAATTCGTTAGGCAAGATACAGATCATTTGGGAGGTGGGGGAAGGGAAATGGGCCAACTGTAACTCTGTATCCCACCCCCATTCCGTTTCATTTCGCCATGAAGGGAAAAAAAAGGGAAACCCTCAAGTAGTTCCATCCAAAAAAAGAAACCGAATATAGAGCGGGAAAAAGAGAGAGAAAAGGAAAAGATGCACGCCTTCTATCAAATCAACAAGATACCCTGTAAGCCCAGCCTGCTATATACACCTTCTCGTGACAAGGCAGGGAAATGGTGTGTTATAGACAGACCCGCCTGTGTTGTGTTGTGTTGTGTTGTGGCGCGCTTGGGGAATAGGGCTCTTTCTGTCATTTTGTGCAAGGGTTTAAATTATCAATTTACAGCAGCTTGCCGCCAACAAAATCGGACCAGCTGCGGACCTCGGAGGGAATACCCTCCTGGCGGGGCAGCTTCTCGTTCATGCACTGAGCAAAGAGCTGGGCAGTCTGTGGGGAAAAAAAAGTTAGTATAAACGGGACAAGAGCTCGTATATAGGGAGTGCAAGAGCTTACCTTGGGCTCCATGAAGAGGGGAACACTGAAGTCAACAGCGTTACGGCGCATCACGTAGTCCTCATCCAGCTGGGTCTTGCCGCGAGTCTTGGCCAGGTTGAAGCAACCACGGATGTCGTACTTCTCGAAGACCTCGCGGAGAGCACGCTTGTCCTTCTTGGGGAACTCGATAACCTGGACAGAGGCGTTGTCCTTGCAGGTCTTCTCGATGTGAGCCTTGACTTCGGGGTTGGCAGCGTAGAACTTGTAGCCCAGAGGGTTCAGGTAGTCGACGATCTTAGCCAGGTAGGGCTGGGTGACATCACCACCAAGCAGGATACCCTCGCCAGACTCGGGCATGCGGAAGTTCATGGTGGACTGGAGAGAGGCCCAGTAGGCCTCGACCAGGTCCTTACCGAAGCAGGCAATCTCACCAGTGGAGGACATCTCGACGCCCAGGAAGGGGTCGGCACCAGCCAGACGGGTCCAGGAGAACTGGGGAACCTTAGTGGCGAGGTAGTCACGCTTCTCGGCCATCAGGTCAACGGGCTCGGGGACATCACGGCCGACGAGAGCCTTGGTGGCGACGTCAATGAAGTTGGTACCCAGGACCTTGCTGACGAAGGGGAAAGAGCGAGAGGCACGCAGGTTGCACTCGATGACCTTCAGCTGGGGCTCAGCACCCTCGGCATCGGCCTTGATGATCTGCATGTTGAAGGGACCGGTGATGTTCCAGGCCTTGGCGACCTTCTCAGCAATCTCCTTGACACGGGCCATGATGGAAGCGTCGAGGTTGGCAGGGGGCAGAACCAGAGTGGCATCACCGGAGTGGACACCAGCGGGCTCAACGTGCTCACTGACGGCGTGAAGGATGAGGTTACCGTTGGAGGCGACGGCGTCAACATCAATCTCCTCAGCACCCTCGATGAACTTGGTGATAACAACGGGGTGGTCGGGGGAGACGGCAGCGGCGTTAAGGAGCTTCTCCTTGAGCTCATCGACACTGTAGATGACGTTCATGGCGGCACCGGACAGAACGTACGAGGGACGGACCAGGACGGGGTAACCGACGGAGTCGGCAAACTTCTCGGCCTCGGAGACGGAGCTCAGCTCCTTCCAGGCGGGCTGGTCGACACCAATGCTATCCAGGATCTGGGAGAACTTGTGACGGTCCTCGGCCTTGTCAATATCCTCGGGGTTCGTACCAAGAACAGTAGCGTTACCAGTCTCCTGGAGACGCAGAGCAATGTTCTGAGGAAGCTGACCACCGACAGACACAACGACACCACTGGAGTTCTCGAGCTCGTAGATATCCATAACACGCTCGTAGCTCAGCTCCTCGAAGTACAGCTTATCAGCGGTATCGAAGTCAGTGGAGTAAGTCTCGGGGTTGTAGTTAATCATAACAGTCTTCTTGCCCATGTTGCGCAGAGACAGGGTGGCGTTAACAGCGCACCAATCGAACTCAACTGAGCTACCAATACGGTAAACACCGCTACCCAGGATGATAATTCCATGGTCATCGAAGGTGACATCGTGGGAGGTAGCGTTGTAGGTGGTGTACAGGTAGTTGGTGTCGGCAGGGAACTCAGCAGCCAGGGTATCAATCTTCTTAACCCAAGGAGTGATACCGAAGGACTTACGGCGAGCACGAACATCATCCTCGGAGGCACCAACCAGGAGGGAGATCTGCTTGTCAGAGAAGCCGAGCTTCTTGGCCTTCATCATCATCTCGGGCTTAACACCGAAGAGGCTGCCAATCTCCTTCAGCTCATTGTTGCAGTCAACAATGTTCTGGATCTTGTACAAGAACCACTTGTCGATCTTGCTGAGCTCGTGAACCCGGTCAACGGTGTAGCCCTCGTGAAGCATGGCCTGGCCAACGGCCAACCAGCGGCGGTCAGTGGGGTTAGTGAGAACATCGTCGAGGTTCTCGAAGTGGTCACCCTGGAGACCAAGGTACTTAGGGTCGACCTGGCGGATAGCCTTCTGGAGGGACTCCTCGAAGGTACGGCCAATAGCCATAACCTCACCAACGGACTTCATAGCACTGCCGATGTCACGGTTGACGTGCTGGAACTTGCTCAGATCCCAACGGGGGATCTTGGTGACAATGTAGTCCAGACTGGGCTCGAAGTTGGCAGTGGTGGTCTTGGTGACTGCATTGGGGAGCTCGGGAAGAGTGTGGCCGAGACCAATCTTAGCAGCAGTGTAGGCCAGAGGGTAACCAGTAGCCTTGGAAGCCAGAGCAGACGAACGGGACAGACGGGCGTTAACCTCAATGACACGGTAGTCAAGTCCATCGGGCTGCAGAGCGTACTGCACGTTGCACTCACCAACGACGCCCAGGTGGCGGACGATCTTGATGGCAGCAGTACGGAGCATGTGGTACTCCTCATCGGACAGAGTCTGACTGGGGGCAACGACGATAGAATCACCAGTGTGAACACCGAGGGGGTCGAAGTTCTCCATGTTGCAAACAGTGATACAGTTGTTAGCAGCGTCACGGACAACCTCGTACTCGACCTCCTTCCAGCCCTTCAGGGACTTCTCAACCAGAATCTGGGGGGCGAGAGACAGAGAGCGGGAAGACAGATCGCGCAGCTCATCGGCGTTGGCAGCGAAGCCAGAGCCCAGACCACCAAGGGCGTAGGCGGAACGGACGATAATGGGGTAGCCAACCTGCTCGGCGGCCTTCAGAGCATCATCAACAGTCTCAACGGCGACGGACTCGGCAATGGGGATGTTAATCTCGTTCAGGGCCTGAGAGAAAAGCTCACGGTCCTCACTGGTCTCCAGAGTCTTAATGCTGGTTCCCAGGACCTTGACGCCGTAGCGCTCGAAGATACCCATGCGGTTCATCTGGACACCCAGGTTCAGACCGGTCTGACCACCGAAGGTGAGCAGGATACCATCGGGACGCTCGCGCTCAATGACGTGGGTGACATATTCGGGAGTGACGGGGAGGTAGTAGACCTCATCGGCCAGCTTGTGGTCGGTTTGGATAGTGGCGATGTTGGGGTTGATCAGGACGGACTGGACACCAGCCTCCTTGAGGGCCTTCAGAGCCTGGGAGCCTAATTGAAGCAAAGCAGAGTATTAGTTATTGCCGTGAATAGGAAACGGCTGGTGAACTGTGGAGATGACGAAGTAACGCTTCATGTGATTCTCCGCGGGAGAGAAGGAGAGCACACGAGCATTCACCCCGGTGAGGAGATATCACGATTTCACACTTATAAATCATTCCAATTCCATTTCACAGATTAAACATACCGGAGTAATCGAATTCACCAGCCTGGCCAATGCTCAGACCACCGGATCCAATGACCAGGACCTTCTTCACGTCAACAAGGTTGCTGCCAGTCTTGACGGCACCGCTGTTGAGGTAAGACTCAGCGGTGGGAGTCTGCTGGGCCTCAGCCAGACGACGGAGCGAGCTGGAGAAGGTGCGCAGCTGCTGGGAGCGAGCGGCGGAGGGGAGCTTCTGCAGGCGCAGGGCCGCGGCCGTGGAGCGAACGGAGGTCTGAGAGGTGAAAGTGCGGAGAGACAAGGCCGGGCGAGCCTCAACGAGGCATCGCTGGCGCAGCAGGGTGGCAGCCTGCCCACAACGAGCTGCAAGAACCATGGCGGCGCGAAAGCGTCGGAGACAGCAGTTCAATGGCTCGAAGATGGGAAGTGTTGTAGAGGATGAGTCCTCGACGCTGCCAGTGCGGAGGTCTTTTTTTCCCCCACCGCTTCGCTAATTGGCTGCTCCTTCACCGTACTGCTCCACTTATTTTTTTCCTTTCCAACGAAAAGGGATTGTCGGGGAACTCAATTGAAAGAAAGGCAATGGTTGTAGAAATAGTTAAATTTTGAAATATAATAAAAATGGTGAATTGATGGGTGCTTCGCAATTATATTGATCCAATAAAAGCCTAAAGAGCCTGGTAGTACCTGGGTACGCAGTGAAAATTGCACAGTATTGACAATTTTTTCTGCATTTTTGCGTTCCGGCTGAATGAGTCAATAGTTGACGACTGTGGATCATCCTGGGGCTCCAGTCCCTATGACGCTGTGTCACTCGTTTCTGTTGATTATTGACTACTAGTAGTGGGTATAGTATCCTTCAGGTGTATTTCTAGATAGGACATACAGAGTATTCTCTACCAAGAGTATAGACAGTCAAGGGTTAATCCAGTCCATAGACTCTATCATAACTAATAACTAATAACCTTGAATCAAACATTCCAGCAAGCATGGATCTGTTGGGGGCTGGGCCGATGCCGGACTAGGGCCACTGGCCACTGGTATCTTTCTTATCGTAGGATCGACACTAATAGGAAAGTTCCCATCGACGACCGGGCCGGCACTCCTTCGTTATCATCTTACGAGAAAATTTGTCTCTCAGGGTACTAGTTAGTACCTAGTGAGGTAGTCTCCAGTGCTAGCCTCACATATGACAAGGGAAATGGTACTTGGTACATTTACATAGCAAATCGTTTTCCCTCTATATCGTCGATTTCAAGTATATTATAACCTCGCCCAATTGAGGTCAAGTCCATGCATAAAACGATCCATCCGCCTCGTCTGCAAGTAATGCGACCAACTTAACATCTCCCTGGCACCCCTCATTCAACTCCGACTCGCCCATTCAACCCTCCCCAAGGGCCCTTGGCACGTTTTTCCCGTCGAGACCCACTTGCCCCTCGTCGTGTGCGAGATTCGGAGGTCCATATATCTGACGCTTCCGAGTCCTGCTCCACACCCTCACCCATGACCTCATCGAGATCCTGATTGAGTATATCATACACTTCGCCGAGTGTCTTGCGCGCATCGTGCGTAACCTCCGTCCCCAATGCGATTTTCTGCTGTACATATTCTCGCTCCTGCGAACCCGCTGCATTCGAGGCAAACGACCACGCTTCGGCGAGAGTGACCAACTCATCGGGCTGGTTATCAGTATTCTGGGGTTGTGGGTTGCGGGAATTGAGAGCGGCAACGGCGTGTTTAAAGCGTGGTTGTCGGGCTAGAATGGGGTATTCGGGGAGGAGATGACTTTCGTCTCGGAGACGATGCAGAGCCCGGAGGGTCGTGGATTTTTCCTTCGCGAGGAGCCCGGTTAAATAGGTTTTCTGGAGTGCCATTGCCTTCTGGCTCTTGGACAGAGGAACGAGGTTCTCCGTCGCGAAGACCAGCACGTCTAGCGGGTCGGGTGCTGGTACTTCTTCAGTAGGGATGTCAGGTCGTTGGCTTGGTCGGGGCGCAGGTTTGGACGTCACGGTCACGGGTTGACAGGCTTTGGAAGCGACATCGAGTAGTTCCCGTCGAGCTTTCAGATAGGCGGCGTATTGCTCGCTGATATTGGCCATTTGTTCTCTAATGAGATGCTGGGCCTCTTCGATTTCCTCCGGCGGCAATTCCTGTACCATACTCTCGTCGGGGTCTCCCTCGCTAATGAGTCGGTCCTCAACCCATTGAACCAGCTCATCACGAGTACGTCGTAAGGCTTGGAGTTTGACGGCGGGTGTGGGTTCGCGTGGGAGGGACCCTGCTCTCGAATCGCGTCGCGACTTGACTCTCTCGAAGAGCTGCTTCTCCCGATCCAATTGCGCCCGGGCACGCACCACTGCTCGTTCAAGGTTGTGAACCAGACCTTCGAGGTCTGTATGAGAGTTGCTACGATCGAGTCCCTCGGCCTCGAGACCCGCCGAAAGTAACAAGTCCTGGCTGGGACTTTCCCTGGAATCGAGATCCTCTGCCCGATCCGCAGGTCCATGCGCTTGGAGCTCAGCAAGATAGTGCTCAAAGACCTTGAGTTTGGCATGACGACGTCGATCGCGCAGCAGCAGGAGATAATCTCGCAGCTCCGCCCCAGGTTCCTGGGGATCGACAGGGTCAACAGGGCGGTGCCTGGTTGCCCGTTGACGTCTCAGCGAGGCGACATCCTCTGACACGGCCTGTAACCCCTTTCTAGCTGCGACATTGGCCTGCAGTGCCTTTAGATATTCCCTCCGTAGTCCCGGGAGATCAGCAGGGATGCGCTTCACATCGGTGATGGCGTCGGTCGGCGCGCAGAGAGCGAGGTGGGATTGGGCGATATTCGGGTCGGCATCTTCGTAGACGATAAAGGAACGCAGGTACGATGTCAGGGCTTGTCGAATGCGGAGAGCCTCTTGTCGGGGCTTGATGTAAGGAGCGAGCGGTTTCACGAAGGGTGGAATGTGGGTAGGGGGATCGTTGGGTTGGGTCATGGTGTCATTGGCAGAGGGAGTTGCATCGGCGTAGCTCGTATCCAGTAGCCACTGGCAGTAGGTACCTAGGTATGGAGTCAAATTGATTCGAGCTTCTAGTGGAAGCCCACAGAGACCACCGAGATCAGAGGCCAGAGACCACAGATATGCCGACTATCGTTGTTGTTTTGCTGTTTTGGGATGCTTAGTAATGCAGATCAAGCGGGGAGCTTATTGTCTTGGAGCGAGGAGTCAATTGGATATCTCAACATTGGGAGACTACTTGGGTTAAGATAATGACGTGCAGTGATGCCCAAAGATGTGGTCGATCGACCAGTTGAGACACATAACACGCATACTTCACATGAGAGGCCTGAGCCCGAGAGTGATATACTTCCGAGTAGTAGGAAAGTAGTAGCAGGTCTTAAGTATATACCGTCCATACTTTGTACACTCCAGGGCTGGACTGGAATGTAATTACTACTATCATAGTATACCTACCTACCTAGATAGATACTAGTATGTGCATCATTGGGCTATATTGTACTACTAGTACTAGTACACAAATAATGACAGTTGATTAATCACCTGCACCGTGACCTAGTGCTATGTACAGGATCTGCCCAGGTCAACTTCGACCTTTGTTATTCGAGGGGCGGACTTCTCCATAAGTAATCACCTCCCTGCACCTTCATCAGATGATCACCATTATCCACACTCTGGAATGTTTCAAGTTCACTGGGGAATTCCGATCAAGGGGTTGCTGTTTTGATCAGCTCTGCCACGCCTTCGCTGCCCGACGCTAAAACTGCTGTTTATAGTTCCCTGGCCCGCTGCTCTTTGTTCAGTTCCTTTATGCCTTCTGCAGGTTCAGAGGAGCCCTACAATTGATTCCCCCTCCTGGCCCCTGCCATATGCTAAGATATCGCATTATGGCCCCCGATCTCAGTGGTCTGGATTCCACTCCCCGTCGACCCCGCGCCGCGACTTCAGTGCTACCGGCCATGGTGACGCCCTCCTATGCGGCTCGGCAGGGCCCAAATGCCACCAGTCCTATCCAGCACTCTGGGAGCCCGCCGCTGGGATCTAGCGAGTATGGTATCACTAGTACAGCTCAAGGTAAGCTTGACCGTCATTTGCTTCTGTTATCGATCGATATTTGGAGACTAACTAGGGTTCCCATGATCACCAGGGCCACTACGGCATCCCAAACCCCTCACCCCATCGGATCTCCATATGGTATTGGAGAAGGAGCAGGAGGCGATGGTGAGTTCCAACTCCAACTAAAAAGACAAGTTACCAAATTTCTAATCCAACCTTCTGGTCTAGGTGAATCGGTTGACCCGCGAACTTTCCCTCCTTCGAAAACAGACCACATCCACAGCATCGACAGCTTCCTCCACCTCCAATTTCAATGATTCGACGGATGGACTCTACACATCGCCAAATCTGGGAAGCTCGACTCGCTCGCAATCTTCTCGTCGACAGCGATCTTCATCTAGTCTCAGCGCCCACACTCCGTCAGCCCAAGCTCCTCGAACTGGAAGCGTGACGGGAATTGCTCCCTCTCGCGAAACTGGCATGTCCCGACCTGTTCGCAGCCGTGAGGCATCTCTAACATCTCGGCGACCGTCAGTCGGGTCCTTATCGTCGTCTTATGCGCAATACCCCCATGGCGAAACCTACGGCGGTAGCCCAACCATCTATCCCCACCGGAACTCGGTGTCGCAAACTCAGCTTGGACACTCCGGTACACCCATGTCGCGATGCGAGGAGGCTGCTTTCCATAAGTCGGAATTTGATATCGTTAAACGAGAGAATGAGATGCTCCGGAGACGGGTGCGGGAGCTGGAGAGTACATTGAAAAGACTGAAGGAAGGACATTCTGAGGGACCGACTGGAACGGACTTGGAGATTTAGTTTTTAGTTCATTTCTTCTGCATCGCCCGGAGCTTTGCACCTTTCGATTACATGGATACTGCAGGCAGACACGAATTAAGGAAGCGTTTTATTTTTATCTGACCTCATGTCCCCATGTCCCCACTAATCTAGATAGTCACCACTAATCAGCGGACCCGTGCCAACACAAGCACTGTAGCCTGTGTACTCCGTACTTATGTAGTAACTACAGTACTAACTAGCACAGTACTAGTGCACTGAGGCGGTGCAGCCCACTGCTACGTCACCTGTGGCGTAGCTTAGTTTAGCCTGTGACAGCATCGCTTCTCGTTCTGAGTATTTAGTTCCTGTTTGCCTGCCCCTCCTCTCTGTCGCACTTCTTTCCCATTCCATTTCACCTCCTACATACAAGATAATCATGTCTACCCACGCTACTGTTCAGGTTTCCGGCATCTCGCCTGCAACCTCTGAGAAAGATGTTCGCGACTTCTTCAGCTTCTGGTATATACAGCTCCCCCTCCACCTTAATGGGCAGACGCCATATTATATTTCACATTGCTAACTAAACCTCTCCTCCAATTAGTGGCAAGATCGTGACTCTATCCATCACTCCGGTCTCGTCTGAGGCCAACTCTCTCAAGTCCGCCAGTGTGACCTTTGAGAAGGAGGCGTAAGCTACCCCGCACCGCGTTTCACAGTATCCCATCCAAATGGCGCCACCTCCCGCTCCAATTCCAAATCCAATTCCAATCCCAAAAACCCCAATCTAACAAAATGTAATCATATCAGCGCCGCCAAAACCGCCCTCCTCCTCGACCAAACCCAATTGGGCGGCTCCCCCGTCCACGTCGAAGCAACCTCCAACATCGCCGACCTCGCCGGACCCCAAGCCACCGGCGCAAACGAGAAGACCGACAACGAGCACGAAATCGCACAAGAGGACAAGCCCCGCTCGCGCATTCTGGCCGAGTACCTCGCACACGGCTACGTTGTCAGCGACGGCGCCATTCAAAAGGCCATCTCCCTGGACCAAAAGCACGGCTTCTCTACCCGCTTCACGAGCGCCCTGTCCAACTTCGACACCAAGTTCAACGCCACCGGCCGCGCGAAGGATATCGACGAGAACTACAAGATCTCCGATAAGGCGGCCACGGGCTGGCGCGGTCTGAACCACTACTTCGAGAAGGCCCTCGAGCACCCGCACGGCCAAAAGCTGCGCGACTTCTATGTTCAGACCGATAAGCAGGTCCGTGATATCCACAACGAGGCTCGTCGTCTCGCTGATCTGAAGCTGGGCAAGGGTGGTGCTGAGGGTGAAGCTACTACTGCTACTGCTTCTACCGACACCCCTGTTGCCGCTCCTGCGGCGCCTGCTGAGGCTGCTGCCGTTGCGCCCGCTGTTGTTCCTGCTTCTGAGCCTGCTGGCACGGCTCCCCTTGCTGAACCCAAGGCTTAGAGTTATTCGGACGGATGGATAGTGATACCTTTACTGGCGTGATTACTTCGGGTCGTGTTAATATCGACTTTACTTCTTTGTCTTCCGTCTCGTTCATAATGGCTTCTTCCCCGGGACGAGTTTACGATTGCAATGTGTTTCCATGGTCGTTTGTTGCGAATAGCGAATATGTTGAACATAGGAATACCCCCTTTTTCACTTCCCACACATTCCATCAACTCCAAGAGTGTAGAATAATCCTCATGCCAAGGTGTGTACGTGCGTAGGCGAAAAATTCTAGTATTTTGAACGTGCCATGCGGTATATATTCTTTGTAAGTAGAGTTATCCATAGGTACATATTTCGAAATAGACCACCCTCTCAAATCACTCAGATGAAGAACCCTGGAAGAACCTTGGAATTGTCTTATTTCGCATATTTTGCCGCCTCAATCTTCTCCAGCGGATTTTCGGGGTTACTCTCCAAACTGTGCTGCTTAGTCTCCTCGGACCTGTCCTGGGCAAATTTTGGTGATGGTTGTGCGTTGCCCATCGTGGAGCTGATCTTGCCGCTGCCTGGGACGTCGTGCTGTTGGGCACCAGTCAGAGTGTCTGGTTCCGGGGATTGACGGCCGGGGTGTTGAGAAGACATGGTGTAGATGATAGGCGAGGAGAATTAGATTCTGGGTATAGCTTCTGTGTCGACGATGTGTTAGAAGTGTCCAGAGAAATGTGAGAGGCGACCAGTCCGGTGCGGTGTATCCCGTAGGTAGCCCCGATACAATTCAATTCATCGACTCTCCCACTCACCTCTTCTGATTTCAGCGCAGATAGTGTAGATACAATCTTTCGGTTGGATTGAATTAAATAATATGTTGGGAATCTGGAATCGAGCTATTTAGGTTGCCATTTATCTCCAGCGAACGTAATCAGTCCAAACCAGACATTCTGCGTTTCCCATCATGATGACGTTACAACTTACCGCCGCTCGCGGGAAGGCAATTGCAACAGGTTCTCACTGGAGAACGAAGTACTGGTTTACCACTGTTTCCAACTTGTCGGGTTGGAAATTCAATTGGATCAACCTTTGAGTGACATCATTGTATACTCATCACGCGCGAGGTGAATCTACACAGGTTTAGATAAACAATCCAAAGCTACCAGTAGCACAGGAAAAAAGAATCTAAAGATCTACGTTTCGAAAGAAGTTTTGAACTCAGTATTTGTGATGGAGCTGATGTACTATATCGTGAGGGGGTTGTACTTGGGGGAATCTGTGCAGGGAGGCGGATTAAAAAGGGCAGGGGGGGAGGGTAGCGACTTTTGAGAGCACATCAGCGGGACATGAGAGGAGGAAAAAGAGAAAACATAGACACATATAAACGGGAGAGCAAGACGTGATCTAAACAGTGGGAAGAAGACATGAAGTTGGCATATATCTCGTGAGAAAGGATGCAAGAGATGGGATCCTAAACGAGACCAGACATTGAAGCAGTGACCAGCATGGTATTTGAACTCTGTATAGTACCGCTGGTCTATTGGTTGCCGTTGGACTGCATACCCGCTGCAGCTTCGGCTTCGGCGTTGGCAGCAGCGACCATGGCCTTGGCGTCGGCCTCGTGGAAGACGGCCTGGATAACCTGCTGCTCCTCGGGGCCAAGAACCTTGATCAGGCTGTCATACAGCTGGGGCTGCTCTGACTGGAGGTCTATAGAGACCGTTAGTGAATGTAAAATGGTAGACATGTGGACATAAGGCGACTTACTCAGGAATACGTTCTTGAACATGCCATACGGCTCAAGCTTGTCCAATGGAGTCTCAAGTAGACTCTCCTCGTCCATCTCATCTTCAAACTCGTCATCGGCGAAAGAGCCGAATTTGCGAGCCTCCTGGTTGAGGAATTCGAGGTAGGCAGCACTCTCATCCGCAACATCACCGTCAAGGGCAGCAGCAGCCTCACCCTCCTCCTCGTTCCATTCAACTTCACCATCCCAGTCATTGTCCTCATCATCATCTTCAAGGTCGTCATCAAGAGTAAAGTCGGACTCCTTGGTAGCATCCTCGCGTTCTAAAATAAAATGTTAGTAATCAGATACAAAGTCGGGCGGATCTTGAGGTACATACGCTTGAGAGCAGCAGGCAGAGTCTGGAAGAGTCTTGTCACACCCTGCAGCAATCTCGGCCAGCCCTGTTGAACGCTGACAGGAACATCACCCGCCTTCATGGTGAGAAGCGAGCTGATGGCGGCAATAGACAGCTTCTTATCGTGAACACGACGGAAGTTGTCAATGTTGGAGAACCAAAGGCTGAAGAACTTGTTGGTCCAGCCCTTGGCCTCCAGGACCTGGAGACTGAGAACGGGGTTGTAGTAGATGGCATTGATGGTCATCTCCATCAGGTGGATGCGGTAGGTCTTGGCCTTCACATCGGCAGGGTCAAGGATGCTCATGGACAGATCGATGAAAAGAGGAATATACTGGTCGATGCTGCCGCGAAGGTTGAGCATGAGAGCCTCGGCGAGCTTGGCGGCACTGATGCGATCAACACCACCGATACCCTCGTTTCGGAAGATATCCTCCACCATTCCAGCGAGGGCGCCAAGGTAGGCTGGGTTTTGAACCAGCATGTCGGATCCATATGAAACATAGTTATCGAGTGCAGGAAGCATATCCTCTAGGTACAGCTCAGCGCCGCCCTTGAAGGTCTTGTGGATCAGCTCAAATGCTTGCCACATGGTGGGCGAAATATTTTTGGATGCAAATGTGCAGCTATCGATGATCTCAAAGATTTCGTTGTACAAATCGTAAAGCTTGTTCTCCAAGGTGATACTAATGACGGGCATCAGAATGGTCTCGAGGTGCAAGAGAACGTCAGGAGTGCTCTCAAGGGTCAGAATGAGGGTTCCGATGGTCTGTAGAACACCCAATGCGGTGATGCTCTTATCGTCCAAAAAGTCACCATAGCCATCCTCATCACCCTTGGTGGCATTGCGCTCGAGAACCTCACCAACAATGCGCATGTAGGTGTCGCGCAGCTGCTCACTCAGAGCCACAGCGAAAGGAGTTAATTCTGCGGAGAAGACCTCGACAAAGTCCTCCATGACGTTGGCCAGAGCATCAACATCAACCTCGTTGGCCAGCTTAAGAAGCTGCTGCATGATCTGCGGGATATTCTGCTGCATCGATTCACGGATGACGTCGTGGCGGATCAGCGGCTGCAGGGCAAGAGCGGCTTCCACACGGACGGGCAATTCGGAATCAGTCATCGACTCCAGGATGTTGCGGTAGATGACCATGAGGTTGTTGGGGTCCTTGAAGTCAAGCTGTTCAAACTTCTCGAGGGTGTCGCAAGCCCGGGCACGTAGGAATCCATGGGGACTGCGGAATTCGGGGAAAACGTGTCTGACGAAGAAGTATTCGACCTGATCCGCGATAGGGCTCTTCTTGCCGAGAATGACGGAAGAAAGAGAGCCTATCATGCGCAGAGCACCCTCCTTCTCCCGGGGAAGCTTCTGGTCATCGGGGGCAGCCTCGTACTTGCTGACAACGCTGTTGACGAATGTAAGGATCGCGAACGTTTGCTTCTTGCGGTTCTTGGTGAGGGCAACGAGGAAGTTTGTCGCAGCGATATCAGGAGCCGAAACCTCCTCATAGTAGTTAAGCTTGCGGTGAAGGTATTCTGAAGGATCCTCCTCGAACAATTCGATATCCTCGTCCGATTGGCACAGAGTGGGGAAGACGAAGTGCGCGATCAGGTTATCCATATGCGGCTTCAAGTGATCCCACATCGCTTTAGGCTTGACACACTCCTCCATAAAGATCAAAGTGTAGGAGAGAGCAGGGTTGCTCAGCCATTGGGATTTGGACACCCAATTGTCGATCTCCTGCAGATATCCCTTGAGAATTTCTGGTGCAAAGGTGGTGATGAAGGTCTTCGCATACTGGGTGTAATCGGGCGTAGAGGACTTGGTCATCGTGGAGGGGTTGCCGTATCTGGAGCGGTAAAATTGTGTGTTAAACGGAGAATCTCGAAATGGAGCCCGAGAGGACTGAGGTCTTACCTGATGAAGAGACGGTTCAAGTTGGCATATGCCCACTTCTTACACTTCCACCAGTGGTTCAATTCGCGCTCCTCCTTCGAGTCTCCCATGGAGCTTGCGGGGGGGCGTCTTGGAGATGATCCGCAGGAACAATGTACACCAGTCCACAGTGGCCTGGTGGGTCTGAAGGGCCGGCGAAAGCTCGAACTAGAAAGCGATGCAAGTTAGCTCCCTGCAAGTCCTTTGATATAGAGACTTGGTCACCCACATAAATAGCATGTTTATAGGACTTGACGATAATCCGCAGCATCTCGGCCGCCTCCAGACTCTCCTCAGCAACTAGTCTCTGGCCGATACTAAGCAACTGTGGGAACGAGTGCTCCACAATCTTATCGAACTCCTCCCGCTTCTCTCCGGCCTTGTAGCGATAAACGCGACAGATGGCCAGAAGGCACTGCAATCCAGCATAGACAGTATTCGCGTCATTGGTACTGAGGAGCTGAAGGGTCAGATCGAGGAATCCGGGCCACTTCTCAGGGAAATCGTTCTGCAGGATCTTCTGGAGAAGAGGAACGAGCTGGGCGCGGACATTGGGCGGGGTCGAGGCCAGGGCAGGAATCAGTCGCTCACGGAAAGCGGGCTTCTCGGATTCGGGAACGGGGGCACGCTGCGGGTTGTCGTCGATAGGCGCCCAACCTCTGTTGATACGGTTCTTGAGGTAGACACCAGCTGGCGGGGCGGAGAGTGGTTAGTAACGAAGAGATTGAATTGTGGAAAAAACCAGGACGGAGAGGGATGCTCACCAGAGAGTTGAACTGCGTTGTTCTGCTCGCCCTGAAGAATATCCAACAGCGCATTGATAAAACCGGGCTGAGATTCGGCCTAGAAAATGGGGGTGGTTACCCCCCCGCTATCAGTCTCACAGTCCCACGTTCGTTCAACAACGTGACGCACATATTTTAGATCCAGCTCCGCTTGCTGGCGAATACTCGTATTCGGGTCCAGTGTAGACTGGATGCGGTCTCGAAGAGCTGTGACGTCCATCTTCGCAACACCTGGGGGCACCCCAGCGCCAAAAATCACAGAAAGAAAAAACTCCAAACAAGGAACCCCCGAGAGATACGGGTCGGTACCGATGATGAGCGGAGAGAGGAGCAAGGGGTCAAGGACGAGGGTCCAAGAGGGGAAAGAATGAGGATTAAAAAAGTGTAGAGGGGGAGTCCACTCGGAGGAAGTTGCTGGGATTTTGGCGGGCGGTCGCCCCGCAGCTAATCAGCGGCCGCACAGTGATTTTCTATACTCCATTCGTGTCTTTCCGAGCCCCGGCTTTATTTTTTTTGGTTTGGGTAAGTTTTTGTGCCTGAAAGAATTTTGATTTCTTAATTTTTTATGTTTTTCTTCTTCGTGTGTACTGATTGACATGCAGGTTCCTAAAGGTTCCCTTGGTTGCTACTATATCTCCATCTAATCAACTGCCGCGAATTTGCCTCAAGGTGCTCGTGGTCGGTCATAGAGGGCATGGGTAGCCCAATAAGCGCGCGCAGAGAGTAATTCAATAACCCCAGCACGTTCACATGTACAACGATGCCGCGAAAATAACATCACGCTTGATCAGTTCCTGGGCCTGCTGCATCTTCGTATACAGCGAGGGGTCACCGACAAGCTTGGCCGCATTTTTCACCTCGCGGCAGGTCTCGTCAAGCCGACTGATAGTCCGGACAATCGTGCCTTCCATTACATCAGTCAGATCAGTAATGCGGTTGAAAGACATTCCCTTGGCCCATTCATAGACAACCTCTGCTAGACCGAAACGTGGCTTGCTGGCAAAGTCATTAGAATCCTCCGTGGACTGGATGACTTGGTGTAGGACCTGGAAGTTATTGACCCGTTCGGCGATGCGGATAATGGCTTCTTGGCCCTTCTCCAATTGTGGTGTGAGCTTAGGAACGCTCTCTGTCTTCTCCTGGAACACAAAGGCGGAAAGAAGAGCCACGATCTCCTCAGGCTCGTATTCAGCGAGAACGTTTTCGAGGACCAACTCCGTCAATACCAGTTCGTCAGCAGAGTGAATCTCACATGCCACTTTGCCCTTCAATTGCACCCGTCCCACATCGTCCACGAAGCCCAGCTCCTTGAGCACTTGAATGCGCTGTTCATAGTCCGGAAGTAGTTGAAGGTTTTGATCCGACATCAGTTGTTTCAGCTGGGAGATGTTCTCCTTTACTTGCCATTCGTCGTTTTGCATTTCGAACTATCGAGGCGAAGGTATTAGAATCAGGTTAAACAATGAATAACGGTGGCTTGAACTCACGTGTTTCAGGAAATTGGGACACTGTAAACAATGTCCGGATTGGGCAATCTCGGCCTGGGTCTGTCGTTGATCTAGAATATCTCGGACCTGAAGTTCCTTGATGCGGGACCAATCGATCTCGTCCCATGCCGTCTTTAACCAGGAGGAGGTGTACTTGGTCAATTCCTTGTCTGCGAACTTCGTGGCTTCTTCAAGTTCATAATAGCCGATTAGCTTTAATTGTCCAGATGGGAGGATGTGGTAATATTCCAACGGGAAGACGACGTATTCAGGGGCAGTACCTTTCTTGATGTTCAGGTACCAGATGGGACCCCCGACCTTGACTTGGGTGTTGGTAACGCATTCGAGATCCGCGAGTGGAACTTTGACACCCTTGAGGTTCATTGAAGCTCCGTTCTGAGGAAGCTCTTGGAAGAATTGTCGGAGTTTGGGCAGGAACGGAAGGATGTCGCTAGGGTGTCGCTTCGAGCTTATGGTTCCGATTTCGAGTACCTGGATGCATGGTGCTGGTCCTGATGTGACGCCTTCCTTCACTAATATACCAGCCGTACGTAATCCGTCCTACCCAAGCATCAGTATGAAGAACATGCACCTGGGGCCCGCTTAAGATCCGGACATAGACATACCTTTAGATACACCACCAGCCTCTTCATACTGAAAAGACGCTTACCCACTGGAGACGATAGTAGATTGGTGTGGAGCTCATTAGTGAGTCGTTTGAATTCAATTGAGGCCGTGTGGCAAGCCTCAAGGTCCACGTCACAGATTTCACAAGGCTCCCGCTTGATTTTCGCCAAACTTGCCTCGGAAAGCTGAACTTGCTTCTCGTGCTCCGGTAGAAGAGCCTGTGTCGCATTTTCGCTGAAACTTCTTTTAATCATCTCCTCGATTTTGAGTGCTTCCACACGAAGAAGATTGAGAATCATGTTATATGTTAGTCGGAATTGAGAGCGAAGTTTGGTCGGGTCTCCCAGTATCATCTTTTTCAAACCAGCGGCAGGTGGCGCTTCATCGCGGCCACTGGCAACAACAATTACATAGCCCACGTTGTCGAGACCTCTGCGTCCAGCACGTCCAGCCATCTGCGTATACTCACCGGGAAGCAGATCGCGGAAGGCTTTGCCATCATGCTTGCGGAATCCAGAAAACACGACTGTTCGGGTTGGCAGGTTCAGACCCATGGCAAACGTTTCAGTGGCGAACAGGACCTTCACAAGTGACCTTGCGAAAAGAATCTCAACAATCTCCTTCATAATGGGCAACAAGCCACCATGATGTACGGCAATACCGCGGCTGAGTAGCTCACGCAGATTGAGGATTTGCGGAAGAGTCCGGTCTTCAGGCTTCAGCCGGGTGAGCGACTTCTCGATCATCATATGAATCTCGCTCTTTTCCTTAGCAGTACAGAAATCTTGCTTGGTAAGAGACTCTGCATTTTCTTGGCATCGCTTCTTGGAAAAAACGAAGATGCAACCCGGTAGCAATTCTTCCTTACGAAGATGTGAAACCAGTGAGACCCAAATGGTTCTATCTTGGGCTGCGGATGTTCGGCCGCCGCCACGTCCAGTACGGGCAATGTTTCCAGTTCCCCGGTTAGAAGGCTGACCACGCCCTCCGGGCTGCCCGCGGCCGCCTCGCTGAGGAGGACCACCACGTTGACCATTGCCTCGACCGCCTCTGGCAGCAGGCTGGCCACGTCCTCCCCCTCGCCCCTGTCCTTGTGGGCCTCCTCGCTGTGACTGAGCCTGAGCAAGCGCGTCGGCTTCTTTCTTGGCCTTGGCATCTCTGCCAGACATGGCATCATTCGCCTTTTTCCAGCCAGCCTCGAGGAACCGCTTGTTGGAATCGACGATCTTGTACTTGTCTTTCCCGGCCCAGAGGTAATGCTCGAGAGGCACAGGTCGTTTAGGGGTAGAAATCACGTAAATGTCCTTCTTCTTCGTGCGACCAACCCAAGAGGCGAATTCGTGGGTATTTGGCACTGTAGCAGATAACAGGATTAGGGTGACATGCTCCGGAAGCATAATAATGACTTCTTCCCAGACAACTCCACGCTCAAGATCGTTCACATAGTGCACTTCATCAAAAATGACAAACTCCACATCTCGGATAAGATCAGCACCTCGGTAAAGCATACTTCGCAGGATCTCGGTGGTCATAATCAAACAACTAGCCTCGGGGTTTATCTGGACATCACCCGTCAGAATTCCAACATCTTCGAATTCGGTCCTGAAGTCACGGTACTTCTGGTTGCTGAGAGCTTTAATCGGAGATGTGTATATGGCTTTGGTCATGTGTTTAGATGCAAGCGCAATAGCGTATTCTGCCACAACTGTCTTTCCAGCCGATGTATGCGCAGCAACAAAGACGGAGTCGCCGTTTTCAAGATGGTAGACGGCCTCCTTTTGGAATGTATCCAACTCGAATGGCCACTCTCTGGCCATGTCGGGAACAAGTTCACTGAAATTAGTGATTTCCTTGTTCACATCAACAACATGGGCCCATTCTCTACCCTTCTGCTTCTGAAGGCCAGCAAGAAGTGGGTTGCGCGGTTCCAAAGCGGCAAACTCAACTGGCAGAAGAGCATCGATATCTTCCTCATCTTCGTCGCTAAGCTCGTTCTCGTTGTCAACATTGACGTTTTGCGCAATGTCGTTTTCTGTTTCGGCTTCTGTTTGATCAAGCTCGAGATGGCTTTCCTCTTGGAGTAGAGCATTTTCGACTTCCTGGTCACCTTCCGCAGACTCTTTGGACTTTGCTTCTTCAAACACATGGCCACGGGTGAATCCAGGAGGAATTGTGAGAAGACCACCATCAGATCCGAAATCGATGATTCTGTCGAGACCGGTTTGCTGTCCTCCGCTACGCTTTTGCTCTGGAGGCTGAACACCCGCCTCCATCTGAGCAAGAGCTTCGACACCCTCTAGGCCACCAGGAGCGAATGGGAAGAATCCCGCTGCACCTCTAACAAAGTCCGCACGTCCAGCAGGACGGCGGAGTAGAGAAGTGGAGTTTTTGGCGGTCTCGCTTGTAGCTGGTACTGTCACCTCGTGGTAACCGGTCACCCGTCCTTCCAAGCCCTCTCGTGTGAATCGAGTTACGGTTCTCGTTTGCGTAGGAGCGATCTCAAAGATATCAGTCGTTTCTGTTGGAACATCCCATCGTCTCAAGAAAAGATTAGCCAGGTTCAACTTTTTCGCAACGAAGAAGCGCGCAGACAAAGGCTGAATGCGAAACCTACTGCTGTAGCTGATTCAACCAGCTAGGGGTAAACTTCGAAGATGGCGTCAAAAATTCAGCTTCCAATTCCGCCAAAAGCTCCTTTCCACTCTGGTGTGCCTGCTTGCGAGGGCCGGGACCACTCGAAGCACCTTCGCCCTCGGCGATCGGAGTCTCAAGTTGAGTTTGCATTAAATTTGGATCGAGGTCTTTGGCTGTTAGCCTCAGATTTTGCATCGCGGAAGCCAATGAATCCGCCATTGTATATAGATGGCGCTCAATTGGTGGGATAAGAGAAGGTATCGTCAATCGTCTAAGTGTTCAGTTTGGTGATAGCGGTGCACCCCACATTGATGTGCGTTTCGGTAGGGTGAAGGTGAAGGTGCGGAAGGAGCGTATTCAAACTGGCCCAATGATATACGGAATGCAAGATATATTGCAGTCTTGGTATCAATTCACCTAGAGAGAAAACACTGAGAAACGAAGCTTGACGAGATATTTCGTTCGGGTGATGGTGGGTGATCGCAGCTGAGCTGTCAGGGCGGCATGATGCGGCAGTATCGGGCTGTTGGTGACTGACGTCGTGTGGGGCACAGCAGCATGAACTATCTAAATTTTGCCCATGGATTCTACAATCATTGGAATTTGGTTCGTCCGTCTCTAAACCTAGCCAAAGAATATTTGAAAAAAAAAGGTCGGTTCTTTCTATAATATGAAATACTGCCCGTATACGTCACAATCTTTAACAAGTTCCATCTGCTAGGTTTCCCTGTCTACCAGAGTCACCAAGAGTGGAGACTGGTGGAATGAAACATAGGAAACTTGAGGTTGCGAATACTTCTCCTTGCTAATCAAATCCAGTTTCATATCGAACCTCCACAAGGTGCGTGCAAGGATAATTTTCATACTGTCATAGGCAAATCTTTGGAATGTCAGTATTTCGATGCCTTGAATATCTCGTGGGACTTACTTTTTTCCTATGCAGCTTTGAGGCCCAACCGAGAAAGGCTGAAATGCATCCTTCACATCGGTAGCAAATTGCGGATCTTCTCCAAGCCAACGTTCCGGAAGGAACTCGGTTGGCCTTGAAAAGTTACGCTCGCTGCGATAGGCACTCCAGTGGCTGATATTCACAACAGTCTATAACGATCAGCATATATCGATATCAATCGGGTGCTTATGTTCAAACCTACCTGGTCAGGTACAACATGACCATCGATTTGGACCCCACCGATAATTGTCTGCCGAGGAAACCCGTTTGTGATCGGGGGAAACATTCGAAGGGTCTCTTGGATCACGGCTTGAAGATAAACCAGCTTTTTAATGGACGAGACATCGATTTCGGACTCGTGCTGGAAATGAGTCTGGAGCTCCTTGGTCAAATTCTCCATTTTGTCGGGATTCTGCAATAGCAGAAAGGTGGCTGATGTCAAAGCTATCGAGGTTGTCTCCCCTCCTGCGAGTATCAAGATGCTAGCCTGCTGCTCGATTTCATCGGTAGAAATTGCGCCGCTGTCCCTTGCTTCAATCAATGGATGGACAAAATCTAATCGATCTGTCCTCCGCTTCATACGTCGCTTGACCTTTTCGGCGGTCAGCCCAGCGTGCTGCTCTTTCTGCTCCATCAGCGAAGAAGGTATCAAAACCGCAAGAAGCTTGTTGAGAGGACAAAATCTATGGACAACTTGAAGTAAAGTGGCCACATAAAAATAATCGACCACGAACTGAACCCACGCGTGGAATTTGGATGAATCCAAGCAGCCGAAAGATTCGCCGAATGCAAGATCTCCGATCATATCGAAAGTGATATAATTGTACCAGAGTCTCAGATCTAGCTGCAGACCACGGGTAGCATGGTCGTGCAGTTTTTCTAGGAATAGCTCCACGTTTTGCTGTAATATTGGCTCTTGTGATGCCAGCGCACGGGATGAGAATGCAGGATTCATAGCTTTTCGAAGTCGCGCGTGATTTTCGGTGTCGGCCATAGTTAAGGTTTTCTTATCCACCAGCATATCATTAAAGAAGGTCTTGTCTCTGGGAAGAGGTGGGTTCCCTTGATGCCTGGCATAGATATGATTCCATGCGGCTGCCGAGATGAAGGATAGTTCGTTTGGACTGATTCGTACGACAGTCCCGTAGTCTTCATGCGCCTTTTGAGTAAATAGATGGTATTTCCCACTCAACTGAGCAAAGGCCACGGGAAAAGATGATGCTGCATATATCCTAGGCCCTGGATAATTCGCCAAAGGATGTAAATAAATATTATAAAAGATCTTTGTGGCAAATGCCAACAAAGCCTAGAATCAAGTAAGTAAATTTGCCTTATGTTCAGATGGTCACCTCAACTCACCAGGGACAGTATAATCATCCATCTAGCTGTGACGGACTTCTCAATGACTTGATTCTCCATGAGTAATAAATGACAAGATGTCAAACTTTCCCACAGGTTTATATTGATAGAATTTCTTCATTCTCTTCAGGCGGGGGCATGAAATCCCATTAAATGGCCTCAGTCCAGCTCATGGCCAAGGTATGTTAGCCGTACTTACCCATTTAGGAAAGTGAACTAAACTTGAATATAAGCGAATTTCAGCACCAAGCGCAAAAGAATCTACTAGGCTCTTTTAGCGAGACGTTTACCAGATAACACAAAACATGGGGATGTTACCTTATTTTTTGACTGACACTTGCAAAGATAGGCGTTTTACTTTGTGCTGCTTATTTCCTACTCCACCTGCCATTTGCCAAGGTGACCCGCACGTCGGGATTGGCCAAGATGTGTCCAATTTTCCTGCCAAAACAACCACAAATTCGAAGCATATCATTGGCCGCTATTACGCTAGGATCATTCTCATTGAATTGAGTTGGGTTACTACTAGTAGCACTTTTTAAAATGCCCTCTAAGGCTGATAATCCATTCAAAATAAACAGCGATAGAATCTTTTAAGCATCCCCATGACTTTTCAAATTCCCCGTATGATCCATCTCAATCAACTGAACAAAACTCGTGTTCGGGCCGCTACTGTCAGCCATTCGAATTTTCTTGTGGCTGAGCGGCTGTCCTGAACTGCTCGTCCGTGTCCCTTTCGTGGACCTAAATACTTTCGGGAATAGGCGACCGAGCAAGGAGCGCATGGCTGGCATGCATAGACAGAAAACTCCAACGTCGATTTCGATTACAGACCAATAGCCGCCGGCGGCATTGTCCCCTGTTATCAATATAACGATTAGCTACCATGCAAGCTGGAAGAAAGGGTGACATATAAGACAGGCGTACATGTTGGATTCGTACTGGTGGCGAAGAGTTTGAGCATGATGGTTCTATAGATGCTGACGCCAGTGATCCTTTCAAATTCATGAAAAATTAGCCTCACGAGTTTTCAAAGCGCTTTTGGATAGAGAAAAGAAAATGTGGAAAGACTTACAAGAAGCCCACTCCGAACATGAATATGACTTGAATCTTTGTCGAGATCGAAGCCTGGAGCTTAAGTACCTTGGGAATAGGCAGGGAGATAACGTAGACGTCCAATACAATGTTGATCGCCGCGGCAGATACCACCAGAGGGTTTGTATGCACGCACTTTCCTACATGTTCTCCGGCCCAGCCGTTCCAGTTGAAACTAACTGGTGAGCATTGGAATGCGAAGGCGAACAAGAAAGTGAGGCCGTAGCAAACTGTCACTATGCAGGAGGCCTTTATGACATGACGCATTCGATCGGAGGGGAAGATTCGGAGGTAGAAGAGGAGGAAGCAGATCTTTGTGAGCGAGATGCAAGTGATGTAGAGGAGCTCTTGAATGTAGAAAAGCTAGAAGAGTCAGTTTTATTGCGGGTAATTTGGCAGGTCAATAAACCGTACATAGAGAATTCGAGTAATGCTAGTGAATTCGAGAGTCCACATATCCTTCCCGAGGCCAGCTTTTCCAACTGAGGCAACTGTTAATTGATTTCTGCTGGTAGATGAGATGATGCCACTTACGCAGTATCGAGCCGACATTAACTGGTACCATAATGCACTATAACGCTGGGTTAGCCCGGGCCATCTTCGTGAAGATTTTTCAACTTACCCCGAGAAGAATAGTTGCCCAGTCATCTAAGCCAATTTCTAGTTTCTTGATAACAAGGCGCGTGTATATTCGCAATGCGACGAACACCAAAACGCACAGGCCAACTGCCGGGATCACAATACTTAGAGAAGTACGATCTCTGATCGGAGCTCCACATTCAGTATTGGTGACATTAAGCGTGGCTAATAGATCAGTTAGAATGCAAAGCGCGTGTATGTATTTAGTTTTGACGAACTGAGGCCCTCCTTGATGGTGCAATTGGCCGAGACACAACTACTCAATCCCATGTTGAGATCCACATTTGTACAGATGCATGCTTGGTCAGTGGAAGAACACGCTGACTTAGGAAGAAGATCGGTAAGACATTGTGTCTGCAAATTCAATCAGTATCGCATGGCGCGGGCGGAAGATTTGAAATCGTACAGCGCATGATGGAAGAGACTGTTGAGCGGATGTTAAGACACCCAAAAGTATTACAGCGAAGGGTAAGAAGGTAGCCCAAAATCGAAGCGGTCGCATGCTGCCGTCACTGTGAAGGGCTGGCACTGGGTGTGGATTCAACCAAGCAAGGCGTCGACTGTATTTATGAGAATTAGGATGGGAAACGTGGAGTTCGAGGGAAGAACTTGAAGGGTGCGTACCCACATGTGATTGTCGGTACATAGGTCTCCAGGGTTTTCAGAAAGGTCCTGTTACTACTGAAACAACTAAATGGAAAGAATTAATTCAAGGGAGAAGAGAAATTTTTTATTAAGGTTATTATGATTCCTCGCGGCCTGAGCTACCTCCCGCCTCTGTCCCTGATTTCAACGCTCTGCTCCTTGCTGCCTTCACACTTCAAAGTCTTTTTTGTGGATATTTGATCAGAAACCACTAGTACTCCGTACAGCTACGTAGCATTACTACTCGGCCAAATTAGGTAAAGTAGACTGCTCCCTAGAACATGTAAATCCTCCGAGGCATGATCAGCCCATAGGATTTCCATTGTCAAAGTTTATTGGGTTTATTGTGCCATCCTGACGGGGCCAGACACGGCCATTTGCGGATAGAACCGAATGAACAATGGGGCGAAATTGGTTTGCCATCGAGATTAATTTAGGGGGGGGGGTATGCCAAGAAACGACCTGAAGGAATTGGCGGCCCCATGACGCTAAAATGGGGCCGAGACGATAATGTCAATGAGTATCAAAGGTCAAGGCCAAATATCAGAGAAACAAGGAAGGGATTTCGCACTAAAAGTACGCACTAAAAGTACGGGGTAATATGTATCCTACAATTCGGAATCGCCACTTCGTACTCTACACATAGTACGCAGTACTAAATAACTAGTTAACTAATCTGTGGAAACCACCTTGTTGACACCTCTTTAATCTCCGCCAGTAAACCCATGTCAGAACTTTAGTGGTTAGATGTGCGGTCTGTGCGTTACTCAATAAGTTCCACATGTAGCCCCGTACTTATAAGCTTGTTGCAATTCATCAAATGGGATATTTATCATAAACTCATTCAATCATCGGAAATTTTCGATCCTTGTTTATCGTTCCTTTGTATAACGATGGGCATGTTCGCCTATTCTAGAAAGGCAACCTTGACCCGATGAGTATGAAGCGACCCGACGAGTTGGATCGTGTGGGGCGAAGGAATCGAAGGATGCGGCACGAATCCTACGGAGTAACTAACTAATGGGTTGCGAAAGAGCTAATAGCTAACTCACTAGCTCATAACTCGTGCATCGGATACGCAACGTATGAAGAAGGATACTCCGACTCCGGAAGAGACCGGCAATCCGAGTTATTTGAGGCACATCTTGAAGTGATAAGGGGTTACTTGATACTTCACGAACTGTTTGAGGAGTACCCCGAACCAATTATTCATCTTGGGATCTACACACCATGGCCGTTTACAGTTCACCAGTAATTCCGATCCACGATGCGATGGACTTGTCAATTTCACAGTTTATGACAAGATACAACCCCGATGAAGTACAGGCATCCAAAGTTGTTCATACTGATGTTTTCTCCGATGAGACCATCACATACGGCTCTCTCCGCGAACAAGCCGGACACGCTGCTTGGGGCCTGCAAAAGAAGTTGGGACTGCAGCCGGGTGATACTCTACTTGCATTAGTCAATAACTCTGTGAGAGCCTCATTTAAGCAACTTTTCAGTCTGTGGTCTGATTGAAAATGTAGAATGCATTCGTTCTTCTGGCTCATGCAACCTGGTGGGCAGGTGCTGTTTTCGCGTGGGTGTAGCACAACAAAGGACCGAGGATAATTCACTGATTATGTTTATAGGCCGCTCAACACATCAGCGACGCGTGATGATATTTCGCATATTCTGAAGCTTGTCCAGCCAACGCATGTTGCCACTATTGAAGAGAAGCTTAGCACGGTTCAGGCCGCTTTAGCCTCTCAATCAATGACGAACACCAAAATTTTGACTGTCAATTTTAAAGAGGGGAATCTTCCGCAGGTCTGTACCTCTCTTTCTCTTTCCTCAATACTTTTACGAGTGCTAACAGTTATGTAGTTCCCAAACGACATCGTTGGCAAAAGGGCTACAGAGACCATATCACCTCAAGGCCTTGATGGTAGAAGCGGCAAGGACGTCGTCAGCACCATTTGCTTTTCCTCCGGAACAACCGGAAAGATGAAAGGCGTCCAGCTTTCTCACTACAACCTTGTCATGAACAGCATCACGATGCGTGCCTCCATGCCGGTCAGGGTTAACTCGGCCGTACGTGAAGTTTTCTTCGCACCTTGTAAGTTGTTTGCAACCCGAAATATCAGTCCAATGACTCCGTTGACAACGATCTAATTTCAGACTGCCATATCTATGGCCTGAGTCTGGTCGTGCTGGCTGGTATGTGGGTTGGAGCCCAATATTGCGGTCTACCAGGTTTCGACTTGGAGACATTCTGCCGGAAATCGAGCGAGCTGGAGGTTACAGACCTTCACATTGTGCCTCCTGTGGCCCTTCTTCTTGCTACGTCTCCGGTTGCTCAAAAGTATGACTTGTCTTCCTTGAAGAGAATTGTCATTTCTGCTGCCCCGCTGAAGGTTCGTTTGTCGGTGGCTTCTCCTTGATCACGCATGACATAATGCTCATCATATTTGAATTCTAGAAATCCGTCCAGCTTCTGCTTAAGAAGGTTCTGCCCCATACGAGCATCTGTCAAGGTTTGTTATTGCCGCCTTGGTGTTCGATTTGCTTCGCTAACATCGGTTCAAAGGATATGGTCTCACCGAGTGTTCGGGAGGTATTATCCATCAGATTGATGAAGACGAGAATGCTTTTGGTTGTGTTGGGAAGCTATTCGCAGGAGTGTATGTTGCCTGTTCCCACTCTTCGATATTCGTTCTCATCTGCTGATTCTCTTACAGGGAAGCTCGCCTTGTCGATCCGAAAACGAATAAGGACGTCCCCGTCGGCGAAGAAGGTGAACTTTGGGTCCGCGGCCCTGTTGTGATGATGTACGAACCCGCCTAACCCATTCGAATTTTCCGCCAAATGGATTGCTAACCAGGCTTTCAGGGGTTATGTCAGTGATCGCGAAGCGACAAACCAAACCTTCTCGGAGGGATGGATTAGAACAGGAGACATCTTGAAGATAGACGAGAACCAGAATTTCTGGGTTACTGATCGTCTTAAAGAGGTATGCCTATCTTCCCCCAATCTTACTATGCAAATTTAGTTCTACATTTAACTAATGACTAAGGTTCAGATGATCAAGTATAAGGGGTGTGTTGAAGATCTCTTCTCTCCCTTCAATCGCTGACTGACCGACCGCTCACGTCTGTAACTATAGATTCCAAATAGCTCCCTCCGAACTCGAAGACATGCTCCTGCGCCATCCAGATGTGATTGATGCGGCAGTTTGCGCAGTCTACGACGATTCCCAGGCCACCGAAGTCCCTCTTGCCTATGTTAGCCTTTCGCCGGCAACGGTGGAACTGTTGGGTCCTGAGAAGCAAAAAGTCCTTGATGCAATCAGGACCTGGATGGACGGCCAGCTGGCAGGTTATAAGAAGCTCAGGGGAGGTGTTCACCATCTGCAGGGACTGCCTAAGACTGCGACTGGTAAGATTCTGAGAAGGCTTTTACCTGCGAAGTTGAATGAGCAGAGAGAAGCGAAGCTTTAGTTTTCTTGTTATAGAGGTTCAAATGCACTTTCGGAGAGCACGCACTATCAACTTCTATACAGGGGGTTTGCGGGGATGAAAGATTCATTCGGTGGTTGAGATTCAAAGACGATAGCTGAGCCTTCCTAATTGATGGCAGTCAAGTTGTGACCTGCCGTTATGAACTACTTGCGCGGCTTAGAAATAAAAACACATCACATTGAAAGATACTATGCGAACGAGCTTTTGTATCGAAACCATCCGAATTCGAGGATGGTCTGTGCGAAATATGACATATGATCAAAGAACTGAATGAATTATGCGCCTCCTGGCGCCAAAGGATATGCAGTTAACACACGATGCGCCAATATCCAAGACCTCGATTACCCATAGATAATATCCTACCGAAATCAAAAAGAGGTCCATAGAGTTTCTCCATTATGCCATATGAACCATTACATTCTTGTGTGTGTCCATCAAACTCGTAAAAAAACAAGGTAACAACAGATGTGACCTTTGGTAGAAATAATCATCGACATGAAAAGATAGGGAAGGTCTTCCGATCATGGATGTTGACGTGGAACTCAAAAATTCCTTCCAGTGTCGCGACGTACCTAAGATGGAGTTAGATGGATGCCGTATTTCTCTCGGAATTTAAGTACTCACAGTGTCCTTCCATCGGCGCCCCAGCCTACTCCGGCCGTGGAATCTGGCTCTTCGGCACCAGGGCCATGAATCAAGCTTCGCTCGGGCAGCTCGCTAATAACATTCCTAACCCATGCAGAATTCGCTTGCTCAAGGCCAGCTATTTGGCGGTGCAGATGCTCCCGTTCTGACGAGTGCACATTGTCTCGGTCAGAAGAACGCTCGTGTACAGCATTTGCCATACGGCGCTGACGTCGAAGACGCTCCGCTGCAACATTGGCTCTGATCTCATATGTGGAGACTCTAGCCGGGTCAAATCTTCGCTCCCGTGCTAGGTATTCAATATTCGATAGTCGCTCGGGCCGCCGCGGGATAGAGCTCGATCGCTGGGGTCGTCGACGAGGCGTTTCGGGCGTGTATTCGAATTCAAGGCTGGGCCCAGATGCATCAGTCGGTCGCGGTGGGAGATCGAAAAAGTCACGGGAGTGGAAATCGTCGGAGAGAACATCGGGATCAGAGCTTAGACGATGCAAAACATCGGCTTGGATTGCTGTCAGCTCGGCGGAACGTGATGCAGTCCATCGTAGCGAGTTGGACTGTCGTTCTTGGTTGGAAGATCCAACTTCTGGGGATCTACTGTCTTGTGAGAGTATTACTGAGCCCTGACGTCTAGGCTGAAAGGAGGAGCGCTCACTCCCTGCCCGGTCCAAGTGGCTGTCCAGAGAACTGTCAGCAGTCTCGTATGAATGTCGAGGCGAAGTAGGACGGGATGTGCGGGTGGCCCCCTCTGTGGAACCGTGATGGCGCGTACGAGCCGTTACTTGAGGGTGCAAGCTAGCTCTCGATGGTCGTTCTGGACGGTCTGGCCGCTCAGTGAAACTCTCTTCTGCCCTCGCTGTCCATCGAGCAGCATTGAGGAAATCCAGAATCAGCCTCTCGCGATCCCCAAGATCTTGGATCAGGGAATCGCGAAGTCCGTTTCCATCCCCGGTACGTTCATTTAGCAATTCGTCGACCTCAGTTCCCACTCGGGGTTCGATTTCCAAGTCATCATCGTCTGAAAGGCTCTCTTCAGGGTTGCTGACGAGTAATCTTTCCGTGTGAACCTTCTGGAACAAGGGCTCATTTGTATCCAAGTACAAAGTTTGTCTGCGCAGGAATGCTTGGCGAACATCTGCCACTCCAGCTCGGCCATGGCCTTCCAGCCAAACCAACAGATCCCAGGGCTCAGGCGAGAAAGTCATACACCGGACAGCGCCACCTTCAGGACCTGTTCGAGAAGCCGGGAACTGGCAGATAACCGCTGTCTCGCTTTCTGAGTGGTGAACGAGGTTGACATCCAGGACGGTGATAACACCGGATTGGGATCCGACAGCACAGAGATGACTGGACGGAGAAAACGCTATCGTGAAGCAGCATGCATCATCCACTTTAGACCCTATGTCCATTTCAACACATTGAGTTAGCTCCCACCCCCAAGTCATGATCTTTTCGCTTTCTTTCTCTTTGGAGGATGAGAGCTCCCAATCACGGGTGATGGTATAGAAGTAGGCTCGATTCTCATCACCGACGGCAGCAAGCAAGCTATGATCTGGCGACACGATTGCATAATTCATGCAAAATGGATGGTGAAAGACCTTGACGATCAGAGCATGAGTGAGCGAATAGACAGTGACCGTACGGTCGTTATTGCTAACCACGAGGATCAGTCATGCAAATGCAAGGGGACGGTGATCTATCAACTCGATAGTTACCTTATTATCAATACGTCCTCAGGTGCAGCACCTTCCTCTGTTCCGGGGAACTGATGAATGGTAACCGAATTCACAATACTCCCTCCGAATTTGTGACGCTCAAACTCTGACCACGACCGTGTTGTGGTGGGCCGAGTCGACGATGGACCATCGGTCGGATTCTCCGGTGTCAAGAACCGTGAGGCAGGCTCCAGATCGACCGGTAGAGCGCTATCCACATCCGATGGTAGGTGTGAGGGTATGGCCTCGTGGGCTTGTAGGCCTCTGTCTCCAAGTTTGAGGAAGGCGCATTCTCCATTCTCAGGGCCCCCCCACAGCGATCCACCCAAAGCCGGCCGCTAAGCATCGCGGCTCAAATGGAATGACAGCGATATCCTCCCTTTTCTGTGAAGCAATGTGGATCGCATAGACTATTCGTTCGACGACGACATAGATGCGATCAGGATCGGCAGTGCTGATATAGTGGCGAAGCTGTGTATGGCTATCCGCTCAATGGTGTTAGCTATCAGCATGTCACCACGGGAGAGCGGGTATACCGACAAGTTGGGGATTTTGAAAGGAAAGAAGCGGCGTTTAGAGGGGAGGATGAGAGACTCTGTTGGGCGATGTCTAAGACAGTTAATAACTTGAAAGGCGTAAATACGAACGGTCGCGAAGAGCGGGGGGATGTGCGAGAGAGGAGAGGAGAGGAGGGGGTGGAATGTGACAGTGGAGGACTCACGGGATCGAGTCCGATGTCATGTTGAGTAGCTAATCCGAGCACATTTCTACTCGGGTGAGAAACCTTGAAGAGCAGAGATGCAGCACGAACCAGCCCAAACTGATCTTTGAGAGTGCGTTGTTCACGAGAGCTGAGGTCGCATGCGCTTCCTAACGGATGACGTAAGACTTGGAGCTTTGAGCCGGGGGAGAACCAAAGCCACGAATGCGGTGATTTGCGCCGGAAGCGACAGTGGCGATAACTTTGAGTCCCGTGTACTTTAGTATTCCGGGTATTCAGGTCGTGATGAATTGAGGTTAGATGTGAGGGTAGTGGAAGTAGTTCAAGGTTTATGGGGAGAGTGAGGTCCACGGTCCAATTGGCCTTCCAAGGTTCCCACGGAAGGAACAGAATATATACCAACTGCCTACCAAGTAGAACTGACTACCAGTATACTCCAGGCCTTCTACTACTACCACTACTAGTACTAGTTTCTACATCTACTAATAGTTGGATCATCCAAACTTTCTCGGGTCGGCTATCTACTTCGCCCAGTCAGAGTCCAATTCATACCGCAGCCATCGATATCCCAACCAAAACCTTCGTCCTCTTCGCAATGGAGTCGAGGCACCGACGACTTTAGGGTCATACAACAGCCAGCTCCGGTGGACCCTTCTGATCCCCCAATCTCCCCCAGTGCGGTTCCCCAAGTTCCAAAATTATGACATAACTTGTAGACACCGTGAGCCAGATTGCTGGGAAGGAAAATCGCGTAGGAGGCCGGAGTCGCGTCGTTCGGGGGAGGTCTGCCGGTTGGCCGAGGCTACTGCGGAGGTGTAGATCCACCAAGGGTCAACAGGGAACTGCACAAGATAGACGTGTTAGAAATAGACACACAAACGGGAATAAAGTGTATAGAAGAGTAAATAGACTCACTCTCATTTCACCTCACCTCACCTCGACTCACCGCACCGAACGAAATGAACAAATTGAACAAAATGGACAAAATAAAAATCGGAATCGGAGGACCGGGTAGAGCTGGAGCTCACTGCATCATCGGGCGGTGAAGCCGGGAGTAGCCGTCACGTTGATTGGCTAGTCCCGTGATTCCACCAAGTTCGACAAGTTGCCGGAGAACCGCCGTCCAGTTTTTTCTCCCCTTCTTATTTCTATCATCTCTCCATCTCTCCATCTTCTTTGTCCCCTTTCCCTCTTCTCCTCCATCACTCTACGATTGACTCGTCGAGTGTCTTCACCTTTCTTATTTTCTGTATTACTTAATTCCTCACACAATGTTTGCTTCTCGCATTTCTCGCGCGGTAAGTTCCATTTCCCTTTCCCGACGGAGAGGAAAACCTTGCAATCAGGTCACGCGTCGCAAAACAGTCTCATCTAACTTCAATCGCAATAGCTCCCCCGCGCTGCTTTCACTCGCGCCCCTTCCTCCAGAATCCCCAGCACTGCTTTCCGCCGATGGAACTCCACGGAAGGTGGCGAGGAGAAGGTGAAGGGCCAGGTCATCGGTATTGATCTGGGTAAGTCACACGATCCAAACTACTCGTTTTATACGTCGTACATTTGTCTAACATGAATCAATACAGGTACCACCAACTCCGCCGTTGCTGTCATGGAGGGCAAGGCCCCTAAGATTATTGAGAACGCTGAGGGTATGTGAAGATTTTTTTGCCTCTTTTTGTCGATCAACCAGAGTCACCAGCTTTCGTTTCTGGTCACTGCGGCTACTCGACCTACAAAACGCGTTTTTGATGGATTCAATTGCTGACTGAATACGCCGACAGGTGCCCGTACTACTCCTTCCGTCGTCGGTATCGCCGAGGATGGTGAGCGTCTCGTTGGTGTTGCCGCCAAGCGTCAAGCCGTCGTTAACCCCGAGAACACTCTCTTCGCTACCAAGCGTCTCATCGGTCGCAAGTTCACCGATATTGAGGTCCAGCGTGACATCAAGGAGGTCCCCTACAAGATCGTCCAGCACACCAACGGCGACGCCTGGGTTGAGGCTCGCGGCCAGAAGTACTCTCCCTCCCAGATCGGTGGTTTCGTCCTGAACAAGATGAAGGAGACTGCTGAGGCATACCTCAACAAGCCCGTTAAGAACGCTGTTGTCACTGTCCCCGCCTACTTCAACGACTCTCAGCGCCAGGCCACCAAGGATGCCGGTCAGATCGCTGGTCTGAACGTCCTCCGTGTCGTCAACGAGCCTACCGCTGCTGCCCTTGCCTACGGTATGGAGAAGGAGACTGACCGTGTTGTCGCCGTCTACGATCTTGGTGGTGGTACTTTCGATATCTCCTGCCTGGAGATCCAGAAGGGTGTCTTTGAGGTCAAGTCCACCAACGGTGACACTCACCTGGGTGGTGAGGACTTCGATATCACTCTGGTCCGCAACATTGTTGAGAACTTCAAGAAGAAGTCCGGTGTTGACCTGTCCGGTGACCGCATGGCCATCCAGCGTATCCGTGAGGCCGCCGAGAAGGCCAAGATTGAGCTGTCTTCCTCCCTCCAGACCGAGATCAGCCTTCCTTTCATCACTGCCTCCGCCTCCGGTGCTCTTCACATCCAGGAGAAGATGACCCGTGCTCAGCTCGAGGCTCTGGTTGACCCTCTCATCAGCCGTACCACCGAGCCCGTCCGTAAGGCCCTGAAGGATGCCAACCTCAAGTCCAGCGACATCCAGGACATCATCCTGGTTGGTGGTATGACCCGTATGCCCAAGGTTACCGAGTCCGTCAAGTCCATGTTCGGCCGTGAGCCCTCCAAGTCCGTCAACCCCGATGAGGCTGTCGCCATCGGTGCCGCTGTCCAGGGTGCTGTCCTGGCTGGTGAGGTCACTGACGTTCTGCTGCTCGATGTCACCCCCCTGTCCCTCGGTATCGAGACCCTGGGTGGTGTCTTCACCCGTCTGATCAACCGCAACACCACCATCCCCACCAAGAAGTCCCAGACTTTCTCAACTGCCGCTGACATGCAGACCGCTGTCGAGATCAAGGTCTTCCAAGGTGAGCGTGAGCTTGTCAAGGACAACAAGATGCTCGGAAACTTCCAGCTTGTTGGCCTCCCCCCTGCTTCCCGCGGTGTTCCCCAGATCGAGGTTACCTTCGACATTGACGCCGACTCCATTGTCCACGTCCACGCCAAGGACAAGTCTACCAACAAGGACCAGTCTATCACCATTGCCTCCGGCTCCGGTCTTTCCGATGCTGAGATTCAGAACATGGTTGACGAGGCCGAGAAGTACGGCGAGTCTGACAAGGAGCGCAAGCTCGCTATCGAGGCTGCCAACCGCGCCGACAGCGTCCTGAACGACACCGAGAAGGCCCTGAAGGACTTCGAGGACAAGCTCGACAAGGCCGAGGCCGAGACCATCAAGGAGAAGATCGCCACTCTCCGTGAGTTCGTCGTCAAGAACCAGTCTGGCGAGGGCACTGCCACCGCCGAGGAGCTTAAGGAGAAGACCGATGAGCTCCAGACTGCTTCCCTGACTCTGTTCGACAAGATGCACAAGGCCAACAACGAGGCCCAGCAGCAGCAGCAGGGCGAGCAGCAGGGTGAGAACAAGCAGTAAATGCTGCCTTAGTTTCTCTCCTGTTGTAACCCTGGCCACTGAATAGTGGCTCATGTATTTTTTTTTAAAACCCCCTATTTCCTTGTGTTTTCCATTTTCTTTGTGTTTGGGGACTCCCCTGGCTGTTTCGCATCTCCCTTTTCGCATTAACTGTACACATATCTCAATGCCCTTTATCCCCCCTTCTTGTTCTGGTGTATCGGTGTTTTATTACCAACCTGTATGATCTATCTATTTTTTTTTCTTACTTCTTCTTTTGCCCATGTACCCCTCTGGCGACGACCAGAGAGTGTACGCCGGGATTGTCTACCATTGTATCTAATGACATTACGGCAAGGGGGCCACCAAAAAGGATGCGGGCTTTTGGCTATCTGGTGCATGTGACAATAGAAATCGGACAATTCTCCTCTCATTTGGAAACAAACAGTCTTCTTCAAACCTTGAATTGTAGTTGTAGGGCCGTTATTGCGTCAGCCGGCATTGAATGCGAACTTTTGAGATCGCTGAGAGCACGGGGCGTTTATGATTACTTCATTGCGTCAAACGGCTGCCCCAGTCGGAATCGAGAAAGAGAAGAAGCCACCGTCGTGGCTGCACTAACTAAAACCTGGAAGACAAGCAGATGACAAATGATAAGCTGTCGCGGCTGCGTGCTACTCAGACCCGGCTGCATCCTGCACGGCCCGTGGATGCGCAATTGTAACTGTACATCAGGCATGTGTGCACTAACCTTGGAAGTTGGTACTTTTACGAGTGTTGGGGAAGAGGGATCCAACCACTCACTACCTCCTTCAATCAATCTATCGCACTCGGCCCCCGTCAGCAGCAAATGTGAATCACGAAGTTTAATATCCATCAGGGCCTACTAGAAATGATAGGTCGGATTATCCTATTTCTGACACACGGAGCCCGCGGCTCCAGAGAGTCCAGCCGCTCGATAATCCAATCTATTTCAAGCTGGACAAGGTTGCGCGCGCACTGCAAGGTGAACTAGTCAGATGGACCAATCGCCTCTGGAGCCTCTATTCCTTGCATGAAGGCGGCTGCGGGTCTAGACGAGTGGTAGGTTACGGAGCTACATTATTTCATTCCGCAAGTTTGAGACGGGAAAAACGGAGAAGAGCGATGGTTGTTATCCTCGGTGGATATCCGACTGTTTCAATCGCCGTGCTATCAGGGTACGGATACAATTCCGAAGGTCATTCAAGAGTGGTGTTCGAAGCTCTTATGTATGCAGTTCTATCATGGGTCTCTCTGAATGATACTATCCACAACTTGCATACATAGGAGTGCTCGAGCTTTATCATGATCAACAACACTTGTGTTTAGATATGGCCTGTGCCGAGAGCACATCATAAGTCCCTCCTTAGTCGAGTAAGATTATTCACTGCGCGGAAGCGCAGACCGGACCTACTCTTGGACCAATCTGGACTCGAGCTGCCAGTGACGGAGTGAAGCAGTCCTGCAGACCCTCCTGCAACGGCGCGCTGGACGAGCAAATCATCGTTCTACACACCAGTTGGGCTTCTAAGTGGGTCTTTTGCAATAATGATGTTTGTGAATTACGAGGCCCAAGATCCTGGCTGGCTTCGGTGGAGAGGAGGGGCTCCCTACCAAAAGAAATAGGAGATGATAATTGAACTGTTTTTGATTTCTTTTACGGAGTACCCTTTTCACCTTCTTCCTTGAAAAGAGCTCTTCGGAATGTCATGTACACCCGTTTCCAAGGTAGTGGAGTATACGGAGAACAGAGTACAATATCTTGATTTCAAGAACAAAGGAAGTGGACAGAAATTTCTCACAGGATACGCCCTGCGATTATTAGTCGATCACTTTGAGACTTGTGAGACCGTCTGCCTTAGCGCGCCCCTAGTGCAGTGTTGGTTTATTTCCCATCGTCTCCACTCGGAAGAAAAAAAAATCAAACTTCCCCCCCCCCAAATGATTTACCCAAAATTCTTCCAACTCCATACGAACTAAGCCCTGTGTGCTCCAGTTGCTTGCTTACTCGAGGTCAAATGACCCAAGGGCTCCATAAATCTTAGGATCCCTGAGCTTCAGAAAGAGGGGGGGCCAGAGTGATTTCTTTCCTTTTCCAGACTGGCAGGGCGGAGCCACTTGGCACGCTTGGAGCAAACCAATTTCCCAACTCCGTATAGATTTCTAATCGTCATCGTCCATTCGGCCAAGTGATACTCCGTAGTGTGTGAAGGATGTTAGAATGGGGCTTCTTTTGTTTTTCCTTGTGTTTTTGAATATTTTTTTATTTTCCATGGATTCCCGAAAGTGGACACCTTTCTCCAGCCAGACTTTGCTACTTCCCGGTCCAATTATTGTGATTCTTTGGGTCAGGAACCCGTTCTTGTACGGAGTAAAAGGGGGCAGAAGAGAGAGAGTAAGAGAGAGAGAGAGAGAGAGAGAGAGAGAGAGAGAGAGAGAGAGAGCATTGTACTCCGTAGCAAGGACCGATACGGAGTACTTTTTTTTTGACTTTGGCTCACACACAATCAATAGCCCAATGCCGCCCTGGCAATAATGTACTAGATAATGTAGGGACCAATGTATTGTATATGTACATGATCAAAGTATTGAGTACTTCGGTTCAATACTCCGTCTTGGTACCAATTCCTGCAATTGTAGCCGAAAGAGTCCATGTCTGCCCTGGCAAGGCGGTACCGATGTACTCCGTACTTTCTCCGTGCACTAGAACAAATCGTGTAACTCTTCCAAGGCTGGAAGACACGATCATTCTGCAGCTCCACTTGTGGGAAGACTAGTTCAACGATTCCAGCAGCTTCGACTGAGGCACCTTTTTTTTTCCTTTTTCCTTTTTCCTTTTTCTCCATTTCCCCCTGCGTTACCTAATGATCTCCCGCCATTGACAGACCTTGGGCGAATGACGGTAGATCTGTGGGTTTCCATTGGCAGTTGAGACCGGAACTAACAGGAAGCTCATTGCTGTGTGGCCAGTCAGCATTAAGGTCAATTTACTGGATGATTTCAACTGGAGCTGTTGCTTCCCCCAGAAAGGTAATTTCTTGAAGGATCAGTGGTTCGTGATTTCTCGTTTCCGAAGGAGAGCTCCTCCATGATTGTGTCATTGTCTTCAAAGGGTCTAGGGGAAAATTTTATTCAAACATTTTCCTAGAGTGGAAAGAAATAAAACTATTTCGAAGAGTAGGGAGGATGGAGTACCCCTGGACGATTCTCAATTATTTTACGGAGTCAATGATTCCAGTGATCTCATGCTGCGGTGTGCGTCTGTTTGTCAAGTAAAAACAGTAGTCAGACATGGCGGTTTGAGACTCGTCACTTTGACCCAATCCCGGTTGACCTATGAGCTTCTGATCCCCCCCCCCCCCTGTCTACAGGCACTAAAAGTCACTAAGATTCCACTGCTCTCCTGAAGGCTTGAATGATGTTGAGTGTGTTCCTTGGTACATGAAGTACACCCACAGGTGTACCTGAGTCTGGTGGAGACAGAAAAGTCTTCCTGGTTGGCTCTCCGATAAAGCGGGTAAGTGTGAGCTGGGCGACCCAGAATCAAATTAAATCCTGAGATTTGATCAAAGGGCTTGACTAATAGGTAGATTAATAATAAAATACCTAGGAAGCGATTCCCGACAATCCTACTCCTAGTATTCCATACGAGAAGTAGAGTATTGGGGTAAAAGCCACTAGCAGCCAAAGTAGACTAGGGATTTGCGTGAATCAATCTCCAAGAAATAAGTGTGATTGTTGTGATTTGATTACATCGGGTCACTAGCGCTGAGCCAATCCATGGAATGGGCCACTCGTCCACTGACCGCATTCCCCTCCCCAAACTGGTTTTGCTTCATACTACTGCCACTAGGGGGGTCACAAAGTATGATGATACGTCCTGGCTAGACCCTCCCCTCTCTTCTCCCCTCCCCCCCCCCATCCTAATCCTAATCCCAATGATGAACAAGTGATCTAATTAAGATCACTTTACCGACTATACTCCATACATACCATACCTGGATGTACCAGATACAGGACCCCTCCTACTTGAAGAGCGGATCCCCTTACTCGGCCGTTACGGGAAATTTCGAGATAACGGGGGTGCAGCCCAAGGGTCGCGCTAGTGGACATTGTCATTTCTTATTTGAATTTATTTTATTGGAATTTCAATTTTACTATTATTATAATCGATGGGGTTTGATGGAGACGTCTGGATGTCAATCCTTTCCTAACCGTCGGCCCATAGATCGGTGAATGGGTCTCTTCCTTTCGATTCTTGTCTCATTTGCACCCGCCCTAGTCCTGCTTTTTTTTACTTTGGGCTTTTTCTGACATTTCTTTTTTACTCTTTTCGTCTGCCCTTTCTTTTTTCTCTCTCTATTCCTTCTTACTTCGTTTACTTCTACATTGGTCATCTGGAGCTTTCCCCTTGTTACGGTCTTCTTTCGGCCTGAAGAAAGAGCCTGTGAATCCACTGACAGAGATCTGTCCCTGTCATTGTCCCTTTCTCTGCTCTTTTTTTTTTTGTTTTCTTATACATTAATAATAATCGCCATGACGGCCGCACCCCCGGTGCCTCACTCCGTGCCCGACGGTGTCAATGGCGGCCACTTGCGCTATCATCCCATCGCCATGAATCCTAATCCGCCTCCTCATCCACAAATGCCGCCTCCAGATCAGATGGTACAAAATCATCACTTTCGTTACTTCCGTCCACCGCAGGCGATGCATGATGGACATGGCCCTCAAGGTCCGCCGGGACCCCCACCGGTGCCGCAGCACAACCCTACTTCCCTGGAACAGATTGAAGCTCGTCTGCGACAGTTGGAACACGAGGAAATGAATCGGATGGCAACACGCAGCCATATTCTCGCAGCTCGCAAACGGGAGGATGAGGAATTTCGCAGATTAACTGAAGGTGCCGAGGCCGAGGAAGAGGTATGTTGAGAACTATATCCTTGCATCACCCGACATTTTGCATTAGGTATTTTACTCTTTTCCCCACAAATAGTACTGACAAGAGAATTAGGATCTTCGAAGAGAAAGAAAGAAAATTAAGAGAGAATCGATGGGATTAGGGCCTAATGCGGCCGCTGAATCACCACCATTGCGTCCAACACCACCACGCCGGCTCTCCGAGACCAGCGCGGCCACGACTTTGGCCTTCTTCAAGCAGCAAAGTCCCCCCCGAGCCTCGTCAGGTTCCTCTTCCGCCATCTGCATCGCAGACGCCAGTTCCTCCTCCTACTATGCCCCCTCCTACTCACATGCACCAGCCCCAACCCCACCCTCATCCTCATCATACTCCTCCCCATCATCATGCTCATCCTCACCACGCCCCCCCTCCTCCACCATCCCACCAACATCAACATCAACACCACATCCAACACCAACAACCTCAGGTTCTGCAAGAGGCCCTCAACGCCGGATCAATCCGCCGCAAGCAAAAATACACCATCAAGAACGTGGAAGCATGGGGCGAGCGCCACGGTCGACCCGCCGCACACGATCCATCCGGTCGTGCCCTTTGGAAACGGCCATCTGATGGCAGTTTGGTCTACCTGACCTGTCCAATTGATGGATGTGGAAAGAGTGACTTTGTCACACTCCACGGTTTCATGTGCCATTTGACAAAGAAACACAAAGACCGTACATTGGGTAGCCAGTCACGAGCCCTTGAACTCTGCGGCATCGTCTACGACCCCAACGCGCCCCTCCCACCCGTGACAGCTTCCAACCGGGGTTCAATGGAGGATAGTCCCGCCGCAATGGACCGTGATATAGACCCCGAGGATGCGGATCTGGAATCCGAGTCTGAGATGGACGAATCTCACGATGAATATCGTGTCAAGATGGAAGCCACAGATCGCTCTATGCCCGACTCGGAGGATACACCCGCCCGCGAAGAACCTTCTCCAATTCCCAAACACATGCTCAATGGATCAACGAAGCAATCGATTCACTCAATCATCGACCGTACTCCTGAATCCGAGCCCCGTGAGGCTCTCGCTTCCCTGCCTCCCTCTGAGCCGACCTCGCAAGGCCCTACGCCTATTCCTGAATCGACCGTCCCTGCGAAGCGCAAATATGAGCTCTCTCCGCCTGCATCGGAGAAGGAAAACACCGAGCCTAACCAAGCATCGACAGTTGAGTGAAGGGAAAAAAAATTTAGAGCCTCGCTTTCATTAATTCCAGTCGCGCCATGTCTTGTCCCAAGACGTCCCACCCCAAAAAGAATATTTCCCGGGATATTGGTGTCGACTTTTGTCTGATATGAAAACCACTTTTTTGCATCTGTCATTTACATTTACATTTACATTTTCTTTATTTAGCATTGTGTGGATTCTGTCTTGTCGACCTAGACGTCATCTTCCTTCTTTTCTTTCTTTATCATGGATTATTGCTTTTTACATTTTCATTGCTTCTTTTTTTTCATCTCAATACCCTTGTTTGCTTTGTCTGGGTGGATCGCTTTATGTCGACTATCGTTTGAGTGTGATGTTTTATTCTTACCGCGCTCCTGCTAGATAGGACGTCTCTCACCCTTTCCATACTTAATCGCATGCTGGGCATATTATTAATGATACACGAGGTCGATAGTATCAATTCAGAATACATATTCCCGACAATTGTTTTGAATCTTCATATACCTAGGTATCCAATCAATCTCCTATGGCATTGTAGGGTAGGTATCCTTGGAAGTATAATGGGTCTTTGCTGAGGCCATAGCCCTATGGGCCTCAGGCTTGCAAGCTTTGCCAGCCCACGCCTGAATAGCTTCGCTTTCATCTCGTTTGGTCGTGCAACGTCGGTCGTTTGGACCTCGTTTGCACGCTATTAGATAAATAGGTACGGGATGAGAGGATTCCCCTCTCTCCTATCATCATCCATCCTTCAGTTCATCCCTTCCATCTCAGTGGTATCACCTCGCTATCACTAATTGTGTCGGTAGGGCACTGACAAACTAAAGAGAAAAGTTTCAAGGAACATGGCTTGATTACTCTGTAGTGCAGATCAGATTAATCAAGCCATGTGCCTTAGAACTTCTTTCTTTACTTAACATATCTTTCCAGTTCAAGTTCTTGTGGCCGTGACCGATGCTACTACCTAGATAGGAGCTTCTGCTTTAGGTGCCATGTAAACGAATTCGTACGCAACAATTATTGAGCTCCCATAATGCGCGGCAAATGGAAATTTTGATTATATTGAGTAAAGCCCATATGGGTGTCTTAGCATGATTGTAGTTTTCCGCAAGCAAGTCTGGTTATCATTAAGCTCTGACCAAAAGGTCTCCGAAGATAACAAAAAGAATAGCCTCGTATTCTGGCCATTCAAGGAATGAGCAGCTGGTTCTACTCTCTGCTGCTGCTACTGATGTTTGATGGGAAATTGAATTCGTTATCAACCCCGGAACTATGGGGCTCTGAGCCGCGTTGTGCATAGAGTTTTATCATTATTTTATCTCGTAAACAGTCATATTCGTACATACGCATTAATGCTTCTCTCGCGCCAATAAGAGATGCACAAGGTAGCCACTTCCATTCTTCAGCCCATCAACAAGAACGTCATCACTCAGCCTCCACACCCGGAACTCTCGCAGTGTTTCCCGCAACCAGGCTTCAAACACGTCCGGTGCGCGCTGTTGCTGTGCCACAATACAGATCGTCGGCTGACGGGCAGATGGCGATGATTCACTTTCATCAAATGGCTCGTAGACAGGCCGTAGCCGGCATATCTCTGTACAGGTGCGCACGAATGGCGTGACGAGGGCGTCGTTATAGATACAATCGCACGACAAGATCAAGTCGAAGCCCTTGTCCTCTTCGGCTTCATCTTCAGCGTCCTGGCCCCCGGCCTCGGCGCCAATACATGCCTTCAGCAATTCGGGCTGGTCGAGCTCCCAGTCCAGAGTGGTGAAGGTCACATTGCGGCGGCCATTGTTGGCAGAGGAAGAAGGCTGCTTCTTGGCGGGCTTAGCGCCGCGTGACTTGGTGCCTTTTTGCTTGGTGGATAGGGCGGTGCTATTCACGGAGGCGTTCTCTTCCAGATTGGTGCGGAATAACCGGCGCACATACTCCTGGTCTGTGGCCAGGTAGTGATTCACGGAGGGAGCCAAGGCCAAGGCGACGAGGGCCGAGATGCCGCAGCCGAGCTCTGCGACGACGGAGTCCGGGGTGAGGAAGGAATGGGTCCGGAGAGGGTTGGAAGGGGAGGAGATCCAGTCGGCGAAGAAAGGGGTGATTTTCCAAAGGACTGGTTGAGGGAAATAGGTGATGGGTTAGTTATTACTTGAATGGGATAGGGGTGGTGTCTCTAGCGAGACAAATGCAGGATGTATGTAGTATGCAGTACATAATGTTTAAGATTCACAGGCACCCGGTCAGGGTCCAATGTGAAAAGACCGAAGCCGAGGCTCACAAGTGCAACCTAGACCGCGTTCCCAAGGTTGCCCTAGACTCTTTCGGAAGATAAGACGAACTGCGGGGTGGAGTGCAATTGGGACAAAGGAAGTCCGTGCATGAAGCCGGGGGGGGGGATGTTTGGGGGAATGCAGATCCTGAACCTACCAGCTCCTGTTGTACCTCCAGCGCGGGAGGATGATAGCAGCGTTGGCGACTGATGAACCGTATATTCAGCGCCACGGATTGTCACGTCGACGGTGGGTGCGCGTGGCTCGAGGAAGCCCAGGTTACCGGCGGGGATATCTTGGCTGAAGAGGAGAAAGGCCTCTGGGGCGTTCAGGTCAGTTGATGATCGTTGTCAATCTCACCAGCCTGATAATTGAGAGCTTGCCTACCTTCCTCTGCGTCGGTAACCTCCTCACCATTGGCGAGCAGCTTTTTGAGGCGGCTATTCATGATGGCAGAGTTCGCCGAAGTAACCCGGTAGCTTTCTGATGTTGCGGGATCACGGGACCGTATGCAAAATAAATTATTGTAACTTATAGGAGAGGAACTAAATTAGCTAGTTTAATTAGGCCATTCCAGACAGCTAACCTTGAAATAATTATATTCCTATTTCTCCAATATCAACATGGCCTGTACTATGTACTCTGTACTATATGATTCCTAAGAACCACAATTAGAATGCTTATTCGTTGCGGGCACAACTCCACTTGTCCACTTGAATATGACAATATTGTAATATGTTGGGCGGGAAGCCCCAACGGAATAGCAAAAGGGAACTGATCTACCGCGGATAAACTAGCGACGAGGCTAACCCGGGGGCTTTGGCTCGCCTAGTAGCCTAGTACAAAGTGCTAGCCTAGTAGTTCAAGACATGCTTACCCGTGTATGCAACTATGGAGTAGACCAGACTGCTCATTTAAATTTAAATTAAAAATTAAAAAAGAATAAAACAAAAAAAAAAAACAAGGACCAAAGAACGTGAAGTGGACTCTTTCTCTCTACCTATCCGAGGTGCGTCATCTGCCGGGGAGCCCAGCCACATCGCGAATGGACTTGGGCCCTTGTGGTATCCGTAGCTTCCCTTCTCTCTTCTTCCCCCCCTCTCACCTCCCAAAGCTCTTCCTGCTTCTCTTTCTCACCCACCGGTCAATATCTGATCCTGCGCAATTCATCTGGTGAAAACGTATGTTCCTCGAAATGACTGAACTGTCCCGTACCTGGGTCAGCTTCCGCCGGTGTTTTCCCGGTTGCCCCAGACTCCGCTAACGTCACTGCTTGGACCTAGCGGATTTTTCTCTGGTCTCTGAACTCGCGACCAGTCGATTCCCACTCTCATCCCCATTTCTCCCCCCGCGAGTCCAACCGCCAACATGTCGAAGCGCGACCTCCACATTCAGCCGCGCATGGTCAAGAAGGGCCCTTTCTCCGTCGAGGCCCCCGGTTATGAACCGGTCGAGGGAGAGACCATTCCTCGCCGACACCCGGCGGCCAAGGATGGCCTCATCCTGCGTCCTTCTGAGGATGTTGCGACCACCTATGACAACTTCCGCCGCTCCGCCCGTCTGTTCGGTAACAACAAGGCCGTCGCTACCCGCAAGCTGATCAAGGTCCACGTTGAGAACAAGAAGATTAAGAAGGTGATTGACGGCGTGGAACAAGAGGTTGACAAGAACTGGTCCTACTTTGAGAAGAGTGGCTACGTCTTCAAGTCCTTCCTCGAATACGAGCAACTCTGCCTCCAGCTCGGCGCGGGTCTGCGCAACCTGGGCCTGGAGAAGGACGGTCGAATTCACCTCTACGGCGCGACAAGGTAAGCTTCAAAAGCTCCGACCCCGCATATATCAAGACTCAATCAACTGACCGGTATTTGTTATTAGTGCACACTGGCTGGCCATGTCACACGGCGCTGCTTCCCAATCCATCACCATCGTCACTGCCTATGATACCCTCGGCGAGGAGGGCCTGAAGCACTCCCTGGTCCAAACCTCTAGCACTGCCATCTTCCTTGACCCCGGCTTGATCAAGCCCCTGTCCAACATCCTGAAGGATATTCCGTCCATCAAGCACATCATCTACAACACCGATGACGATGTCAAACAGGAGGACCTGGACAAGCTGAAGAATGACTTCAGCCACATCAACGTGCTGAGCATTGAGGACCTGCGCAAGCAGGGTGAAGAGAACCTGGTTGATCCCGTTCCTCCCAAGCCCGAGGATCTCTGCTGTATTATGTACACTTCCGGATCAACTGGTCCGCCAAAGGGTGTTTCTTTGAGCCAGGCCAACGTAATTGCTGCGAGTAAGTCAAATTGGAGACGACTAGAAATCCAGACGGGCTCATGCTAATCAATCTAATTTGCATAGCTGCCGGTGTCAACGAGATTGTCGGTCCCTATATCGGCCCCAACGACTCCCTTCTCACCTACCTCCCACAAGCACACATCCTCGAGTTCATGTTCGAGAACCTGTGTCTGTTCTGGGGTGGATGTATGGGATACGGTAACCCCCGGACACTCTCGGATACCTCGATGCGGAACTGCAAGGGTGATATCCGCGAATTTAAGCCCACCATCCTGGTCGGTGTTCCCGCGGTGTGGGAGACCGTCAAGAAGGGTGTTCTGAACAACCTGAACAAGAACAGCTTCATCATCAAGGGCATGTTCTGGGGTGCTATGGCCGCCAAGAACTTCCTTCTCACCAACGGTTTCCCCGGTGCCACTTTCGGTAGCTCGATTCTGGATGCAGTTGTCTTCAAGAAGCTGAAGGAGGCTACCGGTGGCCACCTTCGCATCATGATGAACGGTGGTGGTCCCATCTCCAAGGACACGCAAAGATTCTTGTCCATGGCTATTGCTCCCATGATCAGTGGTTACGGTCTCACTGAGACCTCTGCTATGGGTGCCCTGAATGATCCCTTGGCTTGGAACCCCAACGCTCTGGGTGATATCCCTGCTTCAATTGAGGTTAAGTTGGTGGACTTCCCTGATGCGGGATACTTCACAAAGAACACCCCTGCTCAAGGTGAAATCTTCATTCGGGGTGGCAGTGTGACTTCTGGCTACTTCGACAACGAGGAGGAGACCAAGGCTGCTCTGACCGAGGATGGTTGGTTTATGACTGGTGACATTGGAGAGTTTGACTCCAACGGCCACCTGAACATCATTGACCGCAAGAAGAACCTGGTTAAGACCCTGAACGGAGAGTACATTGCTCTTGAGAAGCTCGAGTCGGTCTACCGGTCATGCCCCGTTGTTCAAAATATTTGTGTCTACGCTGCTGAGGATCAGGACAAGCCCGTCGCCATCATTGTGCCTCTGGAGGCTGCTACGAAGAAGATTGCCAGTGAAAACGGTATCGCTGGTGACCACCTTGAAGACCTCGTGCACAACGAGAAGTTGCAACGACTTGTCCTGCAACAGCTGCAGAGCTCCGGCCGTGCTGGTGGCCTGCGAGGTATCGAGATCATCGGTGGTGTTGTGTTGTCCGACGAGGAGTGGACTCCCCAGAACGGCTTCATGACTGCGGCCCAGAAGCTCCAGCGCAAGAAGATCGTTCACAAGTACCAGGCCCAGGTTGACAAGGCCTACGGCAAGAAATAAAAAAAGAGGAACGGCGCGTTGCTGAGTCTCTGTTTTGAATCACGTACCATTTCATTTATCTGTCTGTTCTAATTTTCTACCCTGTTACCCTCTTCCGCGTTTGCGTTCTTCCTTGTGATACCGAGCTGTGTTGATATATGCTTTTTTTGGTGGATGGCTTGTGGTTATCCTTTGCCTACGATGTAGACGAGATGAGTGATGAATGCGGACATTACATTGCGATGGGCTTGCTATCTCAACATAGGTATCTATGGTATTCATGAATAACAACCCTACTCCTTGAAATTCACTTTGCACCCCACAAGCAATTCCCTTTTGCTCGTAAGTTCTCAAGTATATTGTGTTATTAAGATCACTCTATACCTTATATACCCCGGGGCCCCTACCGACAAAAGTACCATTTCCACCACGCTACCGCAGCCACGGTTACACCGCCCAAGCAAATGACCAGATCAACGTGTCCCTGTGGTACAGGTACCTGACAGAAACCTAGCGGAATTGACCTCAGTTCCTGAGGCAGCGAAAAGGTACAACCCATGCCCGACTTCCCCAACCGGTTAGTCCCGTATCACTAGACACGTGACCCAAGATCACAGAAAGGGAAGCTGCCAACCTCGGCGCTGGGTGTTTACAGCAAAAGACAAGAATATCAGGCTCAATGTCTCTGTGGAGGTACGTCGCAAGCTCCGAGAATACGAAAAATTGAATTGAATCCAAGCTAATTATTATCTAGTACCTACCGATCTCTCACCCCCAAAACCCGGGCCTTGTTCGGCGTCGGCGTCATGGCTTGGGCGGGCATTGGATTATGGACGTCCCCGCAGGTCGAAAGCGCGCTGGGCATGCAGGCTACAAAGGAGGAGCAGGAGGCTTTGGATCGACAGATGGCCGTGCGAATCTCCCGGGCTGAAGGGGCCGATAATAAGGGCAGCCAGTCTCGATGAATCGTACAATTCGGGTCAGTGCGAGGATAAGCTCCATGCTGTGAGGATGCATACAACACAGTTCTCTCCTCTTCTCGGACCGGTCTTTGGATTCAGAAGGGGACGCTTTGCAGCTCGGTGTTCAAGTTCCAGATCCCGCTGCGCTCTTTGAAGGGGTCAGAGCACAGTACATCGGACCCTTTCCTTTGTTGCCTGGGATTTCCATATTCTTCTCTGGACTGATTCAACCGGGCGAAAAGATTATTCCGTCAGGCGTGCTCGGGCCATGTTGGAAAGGAAAGGAAGAGGGAATGGAGGAGAAGAACCCGCATGCTCTGTGCCGATGCTTGAAAGACCACCCCTGTTTTCAACTTGCGTATATCTCCGTGGAGAATGAGAATGCTTCTCTTCTCACACCGGGCTTGCGGTTGCGTCCTGCGCGTCGGAACAACCCTGGTATCCGTGAGAAGAGATAGTGGCCCAGGCCAGATCGAGAGTTGATGCTGGACCCCGGAAGAGCAAGGCCAATCACGAACTGATTTATCTCCCGGACTTGATGGAGTTGAAATGGTAATGCCGTTGCGGGCGACAGGATCGAGATGATGGTCACGTTCACTTGTTCCTTTTCTCTTGGGGGATGGGCTGAACTGATGCTGCGCCTCGGAGGATGTCTTGGTCGGATTTAGGTCTTGGGTCTTGCGCTCGCTCCCTGCTTATGTGGTTGCTAGCCAGGGTAAGGTTGGGCCATGTTGTCGCCGATAATGGCCATATCATATGATCGACAATATACATCGAGCTTAATTCGACCTTGGGTAATGTGCAATACTTGCGTGTTGGCGAAAACTCTTTTTCATATTTTATATTTTATATTTATATTTTATTGAATGGATATCTCTCTACACCCAAGGTTGTCGATCATGGATGCTGG